TCACAGCATGAGGGGGGACAGAGGGCAGATAAAAAACTCGTCACAATACAGCACAGAGAGGAACAAGGTGATTTCACACATTGATTTAACTGCATATGATGGAAACTCTGTGAAAGTCCAGATAGAATCTCAAAGGCTTTCTTTAGATAAACTAGAGGGACTCGCTCCTCTGACCGTAGAGTCTTTATGCTTTCACCAGGACATCACTGCTGCCTGTGACAATGCTCGCCCTTTGCTATTCAAAAAGCCGGCTGACTTGCAAAATGCTTCAATGTTCACTGTGTAGGGTGTAGTGGAGGACAGAACATTTCCTCTGCACCACAAACATCAAAAGTTTTTTTTTTCATCTTTATGTGATCTGGGTCTTCTAGTTAAAGAGCATGTAATGAGGGAGCACACCTGAGGTCTTTAGAGCAAGTGATGATTGTCCCCTGCTCAGGTCTCCTCTGCAGATGCAGGGAGCTATATGAATGGGAGAATTCATTTATGTGGACCAAATGAATGCCAGTCCTGCTCCTCTAAATCTACTCACATTCTTCAATGTGATTTGATTTTGTTAGTTTACCTGCACCTGGGGTCACTGCACAGTGAACGGCAGACCAGGAACTTTACCGGAGACAAAATCAAAACCTGAAAATAAGTTATGAATGTGATCGTTTCAGCTGTGATTTTGCTTTGTGATTGCTTTCTTTCAAGGCTGGGCAATTATCCTGAATACACCAGTGCAGAGTAAATGACCTCAGTTAACAATCAGTATTTTACTGTGTCTGTGCCCCGTCATTACACTGCAGGTCACAGTTAAGAGTTAAAAGCCAGTAATTTAACCATTGAGGGGGAACGGCAATTATGTACATTTAGCCTAAATGGATACTAGCAATTCAATAATAGTATCACACGAGTCGGGACAATTTTTTGTCCCACCCCTAGTAATAAAATGAATTATATTCAGATTCTGCACTATTGAAAAATGTTGTCATTTTTATTATTACATTGTATTTTACTACACCTGCACAAGCATGTTTCACACTCTGTCGAGCTGGACTATGAACCATGCAGAATACACAGAGTTGGTACTTTTGGGAGGCATGAAGGAAGCAACAGGGACTGTAGCGACGAGCTGCAGAGCTATTCAGAGACTCTCATCTTCCTTTGTGATGGTCAATCAAAAATGCATCCAGGTCTCTGTGGGCTCATCTGGGCTCTGAATTGAAGCACCTGATACAGCAGGAGCAGCTGCCCGGAGTCTCAGATACACTTTAGTCCTCCTTACCTGTCTCTGTGAGCAGCTGTGACCCCTGACACTCACAGCCAATTATAGGCTCTGCTCCAGCCCACGGCGATGCTTCTGCCCAATCACTGCAGACACGACTACACTCCGACAGGCTGCGACTGCTCTGATCCATTTCAATCAAATCCCATGATGAACCATCCTCAGGCTTTTCTGTTACCCAGCAAGTTTGTCAACATATGGTGCTATAACTAAGTGTGATGACAATCAAGTACATCTCTGAAGCACTGAGGCAGAGTGAGAAGGAAATATAACAAATCTCAGGGCAGCTCTACGATCACAGGTCAACAAAGACTCAGCGTGTCTGCAATATGAACATTTGAATCAACTTTAATGAAAGACATTCAACAGTTGTTGATAGAGCTGCAGCGAGCAATCGATTTATTGTGAAGTGTTAGATTAATCCTCCACTATTGTGACAGCAATAAATCAGTTTGTGTTTCTTAAAGTAAATAGAGGAGAATTTCTCTGATGCCAACATCTTGAAAATTGTTCTGGTTTCTATCACAATAAACTGAATGACTCTGGGGAGTTGAATACGGTAACTTAGGCTTAACAACTGATAAACATTATATTCTGGCAAAAGACATATTTTTATTTTAATTAGTTATGCAAGTAGTTGAGAAATAAAGAAAAGGTGACAAAAAATATAGCTGCAGCTAGTTGTTGAGAAAAGTCAGTGTGGAAGAAAGTGGTGCACTGACTAAACAGCTGTGCCCCCCCCCCAATCCAATTGTTGTTGTATCTAAAATAAATTTAAAAAACACTAGGGCTGTAGCCGAAGATTGATTTCAGCCAAATCAGATTGTAATGGTTGAACATGAAGCTTTGACTATTTGTTTATTTTTTGCTTAGTTCAGGATAACACCAATCTCCTGCAACAGTCAACACTGGAAATCGTGCCTTAGACCTGCCGACTTCTTTCTTTCTGTTTTTTGGGGTTTATTAGACATGACAGCTTTAGAGAGACGTGGGGGGAGCGATCATGTGACTGCAGCCTCTGTCCAGGGGGAATCTGCTGTACCTACTGAGCTAAACCAGTGCACCTGGCCCACTATACTTTCTTAGTGTTTGAAGTCAAATCATTGTCGTTTCAACGAAATCATCAAAATAAATGAAGAAATTTTGTCTTCTGATATCTGGATCTCAAGGAAATAAGCCAAGCGTAAATTAGAAGCAAATCAGCTTGCAGCCCAGAAGGAAAAATTATCCAAGATTCCTGAGGATAATATGGATTCTAATAAATACAAAGAGGGACTATGAACACACAAAAACAAGCCAAGAACCTGGAAAAGAGTGAACCCAAAGCTGGGCCAACAGCACGTCCTGATATCTGATGTCTGGTGAACAGCTATCTGGTTTGTAAAGGGAATCTGCTTTATTCAGTCTTTTTACTAGTTTAATTATTGAACTGAATAATCCAAGGACAAGCTTTTGGATAATTCTGCTCCTGGTAAAATGTTGATTATGAGCAACACTGAAAGGCAGTTTGACAAGTTGTTTGAGGAGCTCACAGCCTGCCCTGCTTTGACTTCTGCATTGCTCTGTTGTACAATAATGCAGCTAAAAAAATGCGTTTGGATAATTAAAAAACAAAGGTACACTGGCTCAGGGGCGCTGGTGGCGCAGTGGTTAGTGCGCGCACCCATGTATGGAGGCTATAGTCCTCCAGGTTCGAATCCAGCCTGTGGCTCCTTTCCTGCATATCATTCCCCACTCTCTCTCTGACATGCAAAGGTGGCTCTTCCTCATTTTATTATGACGTGTTAACTTTAAAGGGTCCTAACAAATTCTTAAATCACAAGTATTGGATCCCATAGTGCTGATGTATGTTTCCTCTCAAAAAGTCTAAAAATAGAGCTTCATCTTAATCACACATGCAGACATTCACATCTCTCTTTCTTTTTTATCATCAGAACTAATACTACTCTCAGTAATGAACTGCTATTTCAATGCCATTACATATTAAGCCTAATCAAAATCATTCATCCGTCTTTCAACATCACTGACAACTTCCTCTTAAGTATGTCTGTCTGTTTCATCATCAGATAGAGAATTATTAGTGAGCAGGTGGTGACTGGAGAGGCAGCCCACTCATCATCCTCCAGATAAAATGACATTTTTCACCATCACTTGGATTCACCAGAGAGTTCTTGAATCAAGCTTTCCCTCAGTGTTTCACTGAGTATCTATTCAATCAGACACACATGTTTTTTTACTGTTTAAATAAGTTTGGCTTGTTTTTTAAAAAACATCTGAGCCCACTTTGTGACTGTTTGGGTTTCCTCTACTCATATCGTAAACATCAGTGTCCTCACAGTGTGACTTTAGAGGACACACATTGAAATCACTGCCTTGACCAAATGACCATTACTCATGTCTTTCAGGTTGTTTCCTTGAGGTACTTTACAGACCAAAGGATACACCTGCTGTAAATATCCTGAGCTAGGTCAGGTGGTTATCCTTAAAAGAACTTGATTCTTCTTATACCTGACATAGTGTAGAATATGACATAACCTTATTATCAAAATGACGAAATCACAAGTCTTCCAGTTTCCCAAAGAGAGGAACAAAAAATTAAAATATGGAGTTCTGAGGTTCTGGTGACTTAGTGTTTAGTTTGCATGTAAATGGTAAATGGACTTGGGTTTATATAGCGCGTGTCACATGTACAGAGGCTGTAGTTCTCAGAGCGGCAGTATTGGGGTTTGAATCCGACCTGTGTCTCCTTTCCTGCATGTCATTCCTCACTCCCCGATTTCTGACTCTATCCACTGTCCTGTCACTCCAATAATAAAGGCATGAAAGTCCAAAAATAAATCTTAAAAAATCAAGTTCAACAAGGGTTTCATTTAGTCTGGGATTACTTTTGGCACAGAGAGCTATTCTCTTCTATATTATTCTTGCAAACATCAGAACTTTCATAGGGTATTTCCTTTTTTTCGGAGAGTGGATTTCCTTAAAGACAACCTCACCTAAGTCAGACTGGACGGCTGTGTATAAGTATAAGTCATGAGGAAAATTGGCTGCAGACTGGCAGCCTGAATATGTAAATCGCTCAGATTTTCTGTTCAAAAAGTTTCAATTTAAAAAAAATTAAATCATAACTTTCTGCAAGATCATTTGCTGCATGTTACCTCGACACCTTTAATCCTTTCTACCGATATGTTACTCTAGACGGGAAGCTCTTGTTCCAGTAAAATTGTCATGTAAGCTCACACACCATGATATGTCTCAGTATTGTCAGGAGGGTTTAAACAGTTTTAGAATAACTTCAATGACACCTCAGCAAGCTCTCGTTTAAATGCTATAATTAACTATAACATTCATTAATGAAAAGGATCTAGCCTGCGGTCTCACAGGAACACAATTTAGGTTATACTCCTTTTTTAAATGCAGACGTGCATTTTTTATCCATTTATTTAATTTGATGTTATATAAATGTATCTTGCTTAGCCTGAATTTATTGTCATCATCTGTACCGACAGGATCGAGCATTATTTTGATTAGCCTTCCAAGCAGAAAGTTGTCTCTTGTCATATTTGATCAACAGTCTGTCAGAAGGTATCAATCAGCTTTAGTAGTGTTAGCCCACTCACACATGCACCACCATAACTCTGAAGCACTGACCCCCACATATATTTAACAATTTTTATTAACAAGCCCTTTGGACTCCTTGATATTTGATTTTTTAATATTTTTTACTTCTTACCTGAAGAACTCCATGAAGGAGAAGCCGTAGCCATGTTGTTCAGCTATTCCTGCACAAACAACGTTGGCTGATGCTCCTATTAATGTGCCGTTTCCTACAGAGACACAAAAAGAACATTAGGAACAATAGTTTGCATATTTGTATCATTATCTTTCACTATTCCTGTACTATTCATTTCTATGTCTTTATTTAGAAAAGTTTGACTATTTTTTAATAAGTGTCTGCAACATTTTGACAGTCAGGGCTGGTATCCATCGTGCGTTCGATACCGCTCACGTCTCAAAGAGGCGTCAGTGTGGCTGATGGAGCCGGGCCGATCGATGTGGGCCTGTCACAGTGCAGTTGATTAAACTGAAACACTATGACAGCTCTCTTACTCTCACTCTCTTTGTGTCCTTGCCACCCAGACAGAGCCGCACTGTGCTGAAGGGGGTCCTCTGACGAGGTGTGGTACAAAAAGCACAGCCCGACCCTGAACCCCCCCCCCCGGGGAGTGACACAGCTGTACAAAGTGTGGCTGTCACCTAGAGCATACGATGTCTCCTTCTGAGGTGGTGCCATCAATCAAGATCCCCACCTTTCACACGGGGCTCATCTATAACGTCTTTGTTGGCTGTAAGGAACACTGAGAGGTGTTTTTTTCCCCAGAGGTCACAGTCCAGTCCCCTATTTTTAACACTTCAGTTTTTATCTTGATGACATACAGAGGATAAAAAAATACACGTACCTCCAAGACAGGCTCCCATGGCCAAAGCGAAGATGAGAGGTTTAACTGGCAGGTTCACATCTGCATCCTGACTGAGGTTGATGAGAACTGGAATCTGTAAATACAGAGGGAGCTCATCATAAGTATTCACTGATTTTAACATCTTCTGGCACTCTTTTGACATGCAAAGCTTTAATCCAATATCATGACTAGTTTAACACAAACCACCAATAGTAAGTCCTCTCATACTTTCCAATACAAGCAAACCTCAGTATACATGCTAACATACATAGGGGCTCCATGAGTAATATATATAGTTATATGAATGTGAGGAGTTTTACACGCTACATGAGGCAGCTGATAAGCCAGATAGGACCCCACTCTAATGGCTGAGAGTGTTGCCTCCATCGTTTTTGAATTTTCTTCTTTAGAAGCAATCGACTAAAAACTGCAGCGTCTACTCTGAAAACAAGTCCACAAATGAAACATTTAAGACTTCATGTGCAGCGGGGTGGAGTGTATGTCCATTGATTCCTGCTGGTGAAGCCAGACGTTGCATGACTGAATTATTGATGTGAATATCACTTTCACAAAACCATGCCAACTGAGCATGCATATATTGTACATTTCCTTTTATCACCCGATATGTCTTCTGCTGGTTGAGGGAGCAAACTCACTCTGAATACTTACATGAATGATACAAAAACAAAAAACTGTACCTAAAGGATTAAAAGGTTTGCATTTTGACTCGTGTGTAAAATTTAAAGGACAACATTTACGTAGAAACACCCTTATTTTTGTAAAACATTACAGCCATAAGATGGTTCATTTTGGTCAATTCAAATTGTAAAGATATCTTACAGAATTATTTCTTTACTACAGCAAAAATAAAGGCTTGTCTTTTGAAAAAACTGGTGCCAAACTGCTCAAGGAAGGCTGTAGCTGAACCTTAATAAACAAACATGTGAAAAAACTAATCAGATCTTTCAGTTGTACATTTTGAAGAAGTAGTTCATGAAGTCGTCTGAAGGGGAAAGAAGACTAAAACATGCAAAACATGCTATTGCTATGGCTGTTATTTTTTTTTTTTGGCTGGCTCAAGCAGACAGTGAACGGCACAGGAAAAATAAAGACACAGTCCAGCTAATGTGCAAATTCCTCGTGTGAGTCAGCATACCTGGACAATAACGCTGATTCTGATTCTGGTTCTGACTGGGTAATTTTATGTAATCATTCTACAAGCAAAGTAAGTATTATAACCTTGTTATGATGAACCAAACAAAAAGCATTCACAAGGACAGCTAAAAACCTTCATATCCAAAAGAACCTCAGACAAACTCAGCTGACAGTGAAACGGTAACAAGATCACTTATTAAACTATAACACCTGTCTATTCCCCCACCGGCCTCACCTTACTTTACTTTCCTTAAATCCTCTACTTCAATGAAAAAAAAAAACGTTTAGCCATAGTCAGCCACAATCCAAGTGAATTTGCCAAAGGAAACTCTTTAACCCCCCCATCGATACTTTCATGAATTCAGTATAAAAGATTGAACGTGTCAGTTATTGCGTTAAAGGTGTTGGTAGACTGTTTGACCTTTGGACAGGACATGGGAAGGTGTGTTTACAAAAAACAGAAGAAACAAAAAATACTTTGAGAGTTACATTTAAAAGAGCGCCTAAATGTATTCATTCAAAAACTCATTTCCCAGGTCTGAATGTGGAAAACAAATCTCTCCCCAGCTTCGGCGTCGTGTGACAATCAGGATTTGCTTTCTTATCAGCTGTGCACTGGACTGAAAACTGATGCAGGTGGAAGTCTATTACAGGTAGAACAACACTTGCATGCATGTGGAAATATGGAAAACAACAGAGAACAAGACATCTTTTTAAACCTCTATATTAAAATATCTGGCAGAATAATTCCAGCAAGCAACAACTCATTCTGTCAGTGGGATAAGGTCTTTTCCTTTTCTCTCTGTCATTTTAATTGAGCACACCTCCAACACCCTGAAACACTGATTTCTTAATACGATCTATTAATTTCCAGAGAAACAGACAGCTGACAGTAGAAGTGGTGAGGTGGCTGATATTTCTCACAGACAGTGAGCTGAATAATTCATGAATGTCGGAGAGAATCTTTCTGTATCCTCTGGTATTTTAAGATACATGTTTTTTTTGAATGGAAAGTTAGATTTGGTATCATTTTTAGGTATCAGTATACTCACAACTCTAACTTTAAGTAAAGGATGTGTACATCATATGTATCGCTGTACTAGTGGATCTCCAGGAAAATAAAAACATTTCTGATATTTTTTTGAGTGAATCGTATTCCTCGTCAGCCATTGACACAAGAATTCAGATGCAGTGTTTTATTTAAAAGTAGGCTGCAAGTCAAATGATGAATGTCGAGGCAGCAATGTCAGCACACACTGATTGGGGGATTATTTTCAATTGCGTCAAGTGGCGTGCAGTGGGTGATGGTGTCGGTTGCACTTGTGTTCATGGTGGTCATGTCTCAGTATTTCATGCAGGTATATTGGTAGTATAGTATAGGTCGTACAGAATAGAATGCAGCCCACTTTTAAGAAAAAAAAAAGTATTTAAAGTTTGTCTTTTATAGTAAAACCTACAGTAATAATACTGTAACTGTAAAATGAGGGGGGCGCCAGATAGCCAAGCGGTAATGTTGCAAATTTTCACTTGAAATAATAAGAAATTCCATGGAGTAAATTTTTTTTGCTTGTAATAAGAAAAAACACTTACTCCATGGATAAATTGTTCTACTTATTTCAAGTGAAAAATTGCTTGAAACAAGTGAAAAATGAGGGAAAACAAGTGACTTTTTAGGTGATGTGTCTTATTTTAAGTGTAATGAGATTTGTTTTGACTAGAAATAAGACAAATATTCTTAGTAAGATTTTGAGTTTTTGCAGTGTAATGGTGGCTACACCCTCTTTTTATATACAGTCTATGTTTGAAACTAATCCTAAGTCACGGAATTTCATTACTTCAAGTATGAAAATAACTTCTTGAAGTGTGTGTGTGTGTGTGTGTGTGTGTGTGTGTGTGTGTGTGTGTGTGTGTGTGTGTGTGTGTGTGTGTGTGTGTGTGTGTGTGTGTGTGTGTGTGTGTGTGTGTGTGTGTGTGTGATTATACAAGAATAAACTGGAGTGTGAAATTAAAGCACCACGCTGAAGCCTCTTACCATGGTGGCAGTGAAGGGAATGTTGTCGATGAGAGACGAGGCCAGAGCCGAGACCCACATCACCAAGATAATGGCTATAGCCAAGCGCTGGTCTTCTGGCACCGCCTGAGAGGGGAGATAATAAGAGTGACAGATAACTCTTACTTTTCATTGCCACTGAGAGACATTTACCCATCCCTCCCGTCCTCCTCAGGCCATCACTGATTTACATCAAACACACCAATTACGCTCCTTCTTTGACACTGAACCTCTCATCAGGGAGAAGAGGCTGAGTGGGTGAAGTTTGAATGTGTGACAGGTGGTGGTGTTATCTCACTGCTCTGCTGTACATACAAAGTGAGGCCAATTCTCCACATGTGACAGGCATGATGTTCTCTGAACCCTCTTGAAAGCCTCTTTTCTGTATGCGTGACCTGGTTAGAGGAGGCTATATCTCCTCCTTTCACCTGTCTCTTACTTTTATCAGGCGAGGAGCCATTACCCCACATGTTGTCCATTGTGTGTGTGGAGAGGCAGAGCAGGTCAGAACCTCCGAATACGCACAACCTGTCACGTGTGATTATTAGACTTATAGAGGCTCCCAGTCTAAACACAAACTGACGCAACTATTACTGCTGCAATTCTCTACAGAGACACACCTCGCCTGCATGAAGCCCACAGGCTGAAATATGGCTGGAAATTACCCCAGACCCCTTCTTCAACTGCTGACAGGTATCAGATATAAACAAAGTAATTGGATTCCGAGGGGCGCAAAACAAAAGGATCAATATGCATGAGACGTAATACAGCATCACCTGTGCCCAATTATCAATTAAGCCAGTTGCATGAAGCCCTGAGAGACGAATGTTCAGGTAGAGAATCAAAAAGAGAAAACTCACTTTTATAAGCAGAGCCGTCTGTACTCCGATATAGTCGATGAGCTGCAGCTGGGCTAAAGCCTGAAAAAGAAGAGGAGAAGATTAATATGGAAAAAATATCTGAGAACGAGTTACAGGTGGGACCGAACGGAGAAAGAAAGGCAATTTGGTTTCGATTAAGTGTCCTCTAAGCAGACAGAGACAAATTAATTCTTGTTATCTTTATTGATCCTAAGGAAGAAAAAAAAATGACATTCATATTTACGTGGTTGGTTGTTCCTTACGGGGAATACTTTCGACAACTATTACGTTAAATATTCTCCAAAGGCTGAATGAAATACTTTTGTTAGGTTCAAACTGAGTTATAACTTCAGAAGATTTTAATTTTAGAGTAACAAGTTTGCTTTGTTGTAGAAAACAAAGGGTGTAACATAACAATAACTAGAGGCTGACTTACAGCTCCTGTGAGAATTCCTTCAGGCTGCTGGTTATGAAACATACTTAAATTAATATGAATGCCTCTGAATGACCTATTTAAGCCAATAAGATCATCAGGAGTAGGATCCTCTGTTTCTATTTTGTTATAATAAATGCTGGAAACTGCTGCTACAGGGTTGGTGTTAGTGACATGATAGACAGCACGCTGCCTTATGTTTTTATATTTTCTATTGCACATATTCTTGATCAGTGAAACCATTGATTGGTAAAGAAAGCCGGTTTGATCTTTTATGAAACAAAAAACACATTTAAGCATGTCACACTTTGTCCACAGGGACACAGAAAATCATCACAAAGTTTAAAGTTCCTCACATGAGCTTTAAACTATGTCAGACTTACAGTGAATGGAAATACTGCTTCCTACTTTGGGATCCTGCTGGCAAGTGTTTTTGCAGTCTACTGCTTAAAGTTAGCTCAATGACTGTCTCCACTGTGTATTGTAAAGCGAGTGTAACAGGATGTAATGAGGTCTCACTTAGAGCAACCTCTAAAAGCCTCTGGATCAAATAATTGGTGTAGTCCTAAAGATAACACTAATGATGGGGAAAATAAGAGGAGGGAGAAACGTTCATTTGTTTCAGAAATGAGTCTGGAAATCATTCTCCATAGTTTATGAAGCTAAAAGGAGGAAAAAGATGACTTCAATGGCATCACTGTATCATTTCAAGATCAGCACTGAACCTTGCCTTTACATTACCTTTCAAAGTAAGGAAATAAAGTGCAATGACATCTGATATGCCCAAGTTTATTTGATGACCATTTTTACGTGGTAAGAATGACATCAACAGGCGCTGCATAGCCTAACAGTTATGTTGCACGCCCCATGTACAGAGGCTACGATCCTCATCGTATTGACCTCGGGTTCAAATCCGACCACAGCCCTTTAATATTTCCCTGAAGCTGGTTGTTGTCGGTGTTATTCTGAACTGTCTTATTTTGGATATGCAACATCATCAACAACAAGCCATGTCCACCTGAGCGTATCAGCTGTTGTGATAACGGATTACTGAGTGATACCTTTCAAAATACTAATTTGAGTTGTTTAGGCGACTTCATGAAACATATCGCCGATGAATGTTGACAAAAGATGAGACACATAAAGGTCAAGAGAAACGGTAGCCAGTGAGGGAGGAGAAGTACGAGGAAGAATTGATTCAGTGTATTACAGTCGTTTGTGAACAAACACTGGAGAAAAAAAAGGCAAAATGAATATAAACTAACCTGATACATATAAGTCAATTATTTCATCAGACTCAAACTAATATCTGTTGTTGCTCTTTTTGTGTTTTCCCTCCTATGTGACTGTGTTGATCTTTGATCCTTGTGTCAAACACTTACAGTTTATTGGCATTATAGTGTTTCTAATTTGTATTTCAGGGATTAGTCTGCTTCCCATTGACCCCTCTCTTCATGTAAACCTTTTGTTTCTCCTTTTAGATGTAAATGATTTGGCCAGTCTGCTCCTGGTTCCTTTCTCCCTTTTTTTCTGCCAAACTTGATGGAGATTAGGGAAACAACAGATCTGTCATCACACTGGAAATATGTTCATTATTCCATCTTTTAACTGGGGGGCTTATGGGTAAAGAAATGTTTTAGATGAATACTAGTAAATGTTGTCCCTACAGATCTTAGCACTGATCATGTTAGTCCAGCTAAACCCACATTCATCCAAGTCCTGGCTCACTTTTGATTTCTAATAATGACCTCCTGTGATGAGTGGAAACTAACAAGAGATCAGCATCACTTATTTTTTTGTGGAGCCCAAAATCTTTCGAGTAACATGGGGGGTAAATAGAGGCTCAAATACCTCCATCAAGACGAAGAGGCCGGCAAAGAAGAGTAACGTCGGCCACTCCACCCGGTGCAAGATGATCTCGAAGTCCTGAATGTCAGCCAGAACCAGGAGCCACAGGGCACCCAGGATGGCAATCCAACCTGAGAAAGAGAGAGAACAAGAAAGACCCTGTGACATTTCTCTTCACAGATACAAAAACACTTCCACATATATAAAAAATGTTTAATGGTCGTATCCAGCAGACACTGAGTTCAGATTTATAACAAAGGGATAAATATTACAAGGGGCACAAGGGGATACTTACCAGACTTTTTAAAGTTGAAATAAAAAGATTTCCATCTGCTCTGTTCACTTAAATCTCTTTAATCACACCAATCAAAAAAAGGCAACCTTTATCAAATGGTACTGATGCTGCAATCTGCTGAACAGTGAAAACACTGATAATCAGATCACATTATGACGTGCTACTTGCCAAGAAAGAAGTATTTGGTCCGACTTTGTGAAACATGAATTATCACAAAAATCTCACCTCAACACATTCTAGTCTGGGGGACAGAAGTTTGCACAGACCTGGTCCTATTTATAATTAGAGAGATCTTGAAAGTGGGAAGAGTGCTCATCCACTTGGGAGAATTTGATTAAACAGGTGAGCAGTAGTTATTACATTGGCCGACTGATGGAGATTATGCAGAGAGAGAGAGCAACAGGAGGACACAAAGAGGTGAGTGACACAGAGATCGGTTAGAGACAAGCAGCGAGACTTTTAAGCAGCTGTTAACATGTTCAAATGTTCAGAGCTGGGCTACAAATGCATTTTTAAACAGGTGCTAATGGGCTGTCACGATACCCGAATTTTAACTTTGAAGCAATACTAGTAAAAAAATGTAATGATATCGATAACTGTTTGTAAGCCACAGCAACAACATAGAAGTCTTAGGCACCCAAAACTTGAGTATCTCTTGTTTTTCAAAACCAACCTGTGCTAAACATCGGTCTGACAGCCTGTGAATGATAGTCTGCTGTGTCAAGGCTATTTGAGAGCAGCAGCTCTGACAGACGGCAGAGCAGACACACACATGATAGACAGAGTGAAGCTCAGCTGTACTAAATGAAAAAACAGCACCTCACTGCAGGATTTTCGCCAAGCTGCAGATGTGTTTACAGGTTCTATAAATTGTAACTGCAGCGAAAAAGAAAATCATTTATTTCTCTTATTTTCCCTTTGAGTGACAAAAAGAAGCAGTGTAGGAGGCAAAAAAAAACAACCACCGCTGCTCTCTCTCTTTTGCTCGCGGCAGCTTTGGGTTAAATATGACTGAAGACCTTGTTTTTTTTATCTAAAGCTTTGGTACTTTGTGTGAAACTATCGATCATAAAAATAATGGACATTGTTACGTTTTAGAGCAAATGGAATCAATAGCATCAAACATGTTGACAACCTCATAAGGTGACATCGCTTCTTTCTTTACATGCAGCCAAAGTTAGCTGGACATCTCTAAACAACTAAGCAATGGGAGAGAAAAATAAAAATACTGATGAATTGAAATGGATTTTCATTGTCAACTCTTATCTTATTTAAAACCACACAGTTCAGAGATTTTACTGCATAGTGTGCTTTAGTGACAATAATTATCATCATGTTTTTATCCAATTATCATCCAAGTTTTAGCTCACTTTTGAAATGCCAAATAAGAAATATGAATTTCGCTTTCCTTCGACAGATTTGGAGAGAACAGAGAATCATCCGGAGTGCAGATGTGAAAACGGCTATTGACAAGACGGATTGGCTCAGCATCAGCAGTATGGGGGGTGGCAGTAGCTCAGTCTGTAGGGACTTCGGTTGGGAACCGGAGGGTCGTCAGTTCAAGTCCCAGTGCGGACCATAATATGGATCATGGTCTGGTAGCTGGAGAGGTGCCAGAACACTTCCCGGGCACTGCCGAGGTGCCCTTGAGCAATTAATAAAGTACATCGAAAATTAAATTGTGGGCGTGGTGAAGAGGGAGTTGAGCCTGAAGGTAAAGTTCTCGATTTACCAGTCGATCTTCGTCCAAACCCTCACCTATGGTCATGAGCTGTGGGTAGTGACAGAAATAATAAGATCACTGATACAAGGTGCCTGATGAGCTTCCTCTGGAGGGTGGCTGGGCTCAGCCGTAGAGATAGGGTGAGGAGCTCAGACATTAGGAGGAGCTCGGAGTAGAGCCGCTACTCCTTCACATCCAAAGGAGGACATTTGGGCATGTGATTAGGATGCCTCCTCCCTTTAGAGGAGCACTTCCGACTGGGAGATTATATAACCTGTCTAGCCTGGAAATGCCTCGGCTCCCCAGGAGGAGCTGGAAAACGTAGCTAGGCTGAGGGAAGTCTGGGTTGACTTACTTCACCTGCTGCCACTGCGACCCGACCTCGGAAAGCAGAGGACATGGATGGAAAGAAATACAGATTGTACTTAACTAGATACACCTGATTCGTCTATGGGAGAATAAAGTAGAGACCTCCCCAGAAAGATGTCACTTTTTGATTGGTTATTTCAGATTTTATTCAGCAAAAGAACTATTTCAACCCTTTTAGACTACACACTCACTTAATGTAAGTGAGAGCAATATTGAGGTGAATGGGTCTATTTGACAGATAGTCTAAAGCCTGAAGCTGAAAGGTAACTCGTGTACATCTTGAATGAGACCAAAAGGGCTGAGACAAAGTGTATCTGAAGACAATAACAAGGAATGAGAACATCTGTGGGTAAATGATCATTTCCCTAAGAAGTCAACTGAACTAAATTCAAACTTCCCTTTAAAATGACATTGTACCTTCGATTACAAAAACATACAGACAACTTAAATTAAGTCACATTCTGTGAGTCTTTCAAGTAAAGGAGGTGACAAATAACATAAAGATGTCACTTTTATTTTCTTCTGTGCAGTAATATTTTCTGAGCCTGCATTCTCTTCAAACTGCAGATAAAAACCTGAAGAGCTCTCTGAGCAAAAGGAGCTGTAAGGCAGGAGTGAGCAGTTTATGAAAGACTCATTTATCAAACACAAGACAACCATGATGAGAGAAGACATATGCAGCAACACATGTCTTGTAGCAGTCTTCTATATGATACAGAACAAAGGAAATGTTCAGTGGATCAAGGCCAAAGCCAAAAGATGAAGAGTTATGGGCTCTGACTCATGTTTCTGGTATTCTCATGAGCGTCTGGTCAGACAACAAACTTTGCTGTTTGAAGTGTACTTTTGCCTTGTCTAGATTTTAAATTGTCAAAATGAATGTGTGGATTGTAAAATCAATCTGTGAAATTAGAAGTTACATTTCTAATATTTAAATGTTTAAATATATCTGATGATTTATTTTTCTATACTTCCCTGCATTAAAATCTTTCATGAAACCTCTGCTGTAACCTGCAAAAGTATAAACACATCACAGGGATCAAATGACCAGGCAATAATCAGGCTGGAATTAAATCTTACTGTGCAGAGTTAATGCATTTTTAATGAGGATTAATTCATAAAACAGGAGTGAATGAATAGACCCTGCTGGCTGCAGTAGTCAGCCCTGACTGTGACCTGCATGCATTAATGAGAGCCGTGTTTAGACAAGCGCCTGTCCCTCCACAGAGAAAGAAAACATGCTGCTGCAGGGTCATTCCCATTTAATAAATGTCACACGGAGGTAGCCGAAGCAGCGGCTGTAATTAACCGAGCATGTTTGGTGGCTGAGTGGCCTCGGCAGCATTGGGAGAAGATGACAGGGGGTGTATGAAAACGGCCATCTTGATATAGGGATAGTGTTAGCATTAATGGTGAGTCAAAATATCCTGACAGGATGAACACATGCAAGCTAACAGAGGTGGAGACTTTACTGTAATTTATATAGGAACAATATGAGGTTAGGAGGATTTTTGATACTTTCCAAAAGTTTTAAAAACAACATGATTGCTTTTGTTTTAATGATTTAAAGTCTCCCAAAGTACTGAAGCTTTAGAGAGTACAGATCTTCAGTATGGGTTATGGGTTCATGTAAACTAAAAATGTGCAACAAGTGTAAGAGAGAAAACTGTTAGCAACATTTCAGCAAAACATTGCTAACGTATTTGTGCGATTTAGACAGTGTGCAGGAGTGGTACGGTAATTAAAAACAATACATTTCAAAAACTTTCTAAAGACTGATGCGCAAAATCTCAAACAATGGCTGTCAACCACAGACCATATCCCTGTGATGGAGAATCTAACCTACAGGTTGAAAATGAAGAAGGATCATTGAGCAAAAGGCTGAGGGAAATGGTTAATAAATTTAAAAAAATAACTCAGTCTACAGGGGCTTGGGTTGGGAACCGGAGAGCAAGTCTCGGTGCAGGCTATGTCTGGAAATTGGTCTGGTCGCTAAAGAGGTGCCAGTTCACTTCCTGAACACTGCCGATGTGCCCTTGAGCAAGGCACCAAACCCCCCACATAGCTCAGAAGGGCTCCCTGTGGGCAGCCCCCTCAAACCCCATCTCTCCATTAGCATGTGTGTGTAACATGACTCAACAACAAAGTGTAAAATAGAATTTCCCCTCATAAGATTAATAAAGTTTGTCTTCTTCTTCTAATGGTTTATGATCTTTTCTGGAGCGTTTACAACTACGAGATAATAATTTTAGTTTTATTAAAGGTACACTTTGTTTCTTGAGTCTTAGTACGGCCTTTCTCTGCCGCGTGAGATTTAAAACCACTTTTAAAAGTGTATGGTATTAATGTATCAAAGTGCATGCTCTAGATTCCTGGAACACTTTCGATACAAAGGTTTGAAATTTAAGCTTTTGAATATATGTAGTGCGGTCTAAATGCAGCTCAGTATCCATGTAATTTGTTGGTTGCCTTCTCTAGTCAGCCCATTATTTGGTGTCATTTCAATGCAAGCAACAGAGGAAGGCGATTTTCATAATTACACGACAGAACCTATAACCACACAGCGGGGCCTGTAAAGTTATAATGAGGTAGTGCTGCACTTACCCAGATCAAGATGAATGCTGGGAACAAAGGAGTTGACAAAGAACATGAAGATCACAACTCCAAGGACAGACAAGCACTTCACCAAGAGCACCTTGTCACTTATTTTGTGCTGTGGAGGAGAAAAATATATAATCTTTTATCATATAACCACCCACACTTCTCTTAAGTGGAGTTTTTCAAAGACTAGGCCAACTTCATTATTGTGATAACATCAATGCAGCGGAGTCGCATGAGTGACAAATCCGTCTGAGGTGAAGGATGAAAGCTCACCTTCTTTTTCAGTTCTTGAATGTTTTGTTCCCAGTTCTTATCTTCTTGAGAAATTTGTCTGTCAGACACAAAAAAAATGCAATCTCATTTTCATTGTAGTTTTTCTTCCTATTGAACAGCTGGTATTCAAAAAACATTAAGCTATAGACCAGTCAGCAAACAGTAGTCATGTCAACTAAACTAGTCAGTGTCAAAAAGTGTTCATTGAGGTGCATTTTTGGTACAACTGTCATATCCACTGGAATGATAGCGGGTGGGGAAATTGCTCTTTTCAGACAAAAGAAGACTTTTCTGGGATTCATTTCAAATATCTGCTTTACAAACTTTGTCGATTCGAGGTATTGTTTCCTTTCCCTAAGAAACATAAATACCTTGTTTTGTTCTTAGTGCAGATTGATATGCATACTATTTGAGCTGTGCTTTTTTTCTTCAGTCTTGCAGTAAACTCGGCTTTACTTTGTTTCTTTCCCATGTGCAGTGCTGAATAATAAATCCCCTAAGGTAAATCTTCAAAGCGTCCCATGCCATACCTGTAGAAGAAGCTTTTGGGGCATTAGTTTCTATGTGAAAAGTTTATTTCAGTCATGGGTTTTTATAAGCCCTGTTTGAGAAAAATGTGATGTGCAATTAGATTGTTCATTATTGAAATCATTACATGAAGTGCACTAAATACACAATTTTATAAGACTGCACTTAAGCAACAACTCTCAGTCTTTTTGCTTATTTGCTTTCCTTATTCTTTTTAAAATAAAGTGTACACCGATTAATCTGAGAGTATCTAGCTTGATTTTCTGAAAAACTAGACTTGCATATATGGGCAGGGAAACGTCATTACAAAGAACACAGAATTATTTTGGTCGTTCATAAAGCTCCAACAATGTCATCATTTTCTGGACTAATGAGCATGTGTTTCTGTAAGAGGTGATCAAACTGTTCTTAACAATGACAGCTGTATTGTGTGTTTTCAGAGTTTTGTTTGACCTTTGGAAGGTTTTCATCATCTTGCGGAGCAGATTTTCCAGGTTGAGGACTTTTTGCATCAGGAGACATTTCACAGCTGTCTCTTCTCTGCTGGCGGGGTTAATGCGCTGAGCCGTCTGCCTCCAAACCAGGATCTCATGCTTGAGTTCTGAAGGAAACAGGACAAATAGAGTAGGAGAGAAAACCACCTGTTTAGTGCATGTCAAACACATGGACGGCTCAGTGGTAAAGCTCACAAACAGCCTGAAGCACAGGGGATTTTGTTGATAACGGCACCTACAGCTGAGGCTCACAAAGGGGATATAAAGATGTTTTCACTTCAGTCAATATGCTGAGAGCCCCTATAGAGGGGCTAATGCAGCCAGGCGATGGGCGCATTGACCAGCTCAGGAAACAGCCAATGTCGAAGCAGAGACACAGCCTGAGGGAGCTGGACGCCTGTGTAGATATCAGTAGTTGTCATCCTCTTGCAGGAAGGTTGCTAGGTGACCTTAATAGGATCTAACTGGCACAGGGATAAAAAAACATTTCTGTAAGCGAATCTGCACAATTACCAGTCGTGGCGGTGGCTTAGGAGCTGATTTAACTGCATGCACGGTGAGGTCGGCCAGGTTGGCGGAAGAAGCGGGAACTCCGTAGGGTGGGATTTACTGATGGGCTATCAGGCCTGCATTGAACGGCTGCTGCAGTGATCGGCAGCAGCTTCCCTCAATCTGCCAGAGTCTCAGTGTGACAATACAGCTCTAAACAGTCACTCTTCCTCGCACCCTGAATGGGAGCGTTGTTGACTTCTGGGAATCTGTTTTAATGATCTTCAGCTGAGGTTCTCCGAGGGGGGGTGGGGGGTGGGGGGCACTGTTGGATTGCGGGTAAACACTGATAAGAGGTGACTGCGTTTCTGGGAGAAATGCAAACAATTCCACACAAATATTCCTGTTTTGTTAGTTTGCCCATTATCTACAGACTTGCTGTCTCATATGTAAAAGTCTTTTCCATGGGAGAGAATTTAGGATGGAGGACACAGCTACCACCAAAACTAATCACACCCAGGGGGTTTTAATGTTACTAAAAAATATTGAACTACCACGAGAAAATATCTAGGCACTGTTAAAGGAGACATATTATGAAAAATCCACTTTTACAGTGTTTTTGAACATATATTTGGGTAACCTGCTTGTCTACTGACCCACAAAAAGTTATATAAACTCATCCAGTCTTCATAAGTCATCAACGATGTTTAATGGTGGTATTTATACAGATTTAGAGGGGAAACATTCACCATTACTGTTTTTGTCTTTGTTGTTTGTGCACTGATTTTGCAACAATATGACAATACAAATGTACTCAGAAGTTGTGAAGAATTTATGCCCCCATACCAGAAAACCAATTATACAGCCAAATGTTATACACAAGTTCTAAATCTACATGCAATTTCACACCCAGACCCTCCCTCCTCTTCTTATCCAGTAGAATCTTCTCACCATCTAACAAACCGCCTCACCTGTTCTCCATTTCCTCACCCAATATATAAACTTGTGCATGTCATAAAGAACTTGTAAAGAACGTGTATTTGATTTATTTCCTCTAACAGTTTCTGATCTTGTCTATAACTTTCACATCCTGCCTCAGCCAAACTTTTATTTGGACTTTGTTTGCATGTCTAGAGATTTGTTACGTCATTCTTTTCTAATTGAAGACTCTTAAATGTATTTTCTGCCTCTTGAGATGCTGCTCTTGGATCTACAACAGACTGTTTTTAGAGCATGGACAATATAGTAAGATGGACAAAAAAACAGCCGCCTGGGAGTGAAGCCAGTATATCTACAGCTCCCTCTGCTGACTGGCTGCAGTACAGGTCATAAATCCCACCCCCTCCTTGTTAACAGATTGTTCATAGGTCAAACTATAGTACCAATATGGGGGTGTTTAATGTATGATTTTACAAAGACGTGCTTGTTTTCTCCTAAGAATGTATAGCTCATAGCCTATCTTGGTATGAATAACACCTTCTTAATACTTTTAATGCAGCTCTGAAAACTCGTACTTTGAATCAATCTCCTCAGTGTGGACATGAAGAAATCATCCCAAATTATTGATAGAAGCATATTCATGTTTCGAGATTTTCATTGGCTACAAGAAACATCAGTCATCGGCACAGTTGTGTTCAAATGGCCATCAGAACAGGTGCAAAAAAACAAGAACAAAACACAATCAGTCAAGGATAGGCAAAAATCGACTTTGTAAATTCTCTTGAAACACTCAGCCCACTCTGACTTGCTAGCCCTGTTAGACTTACCATAACCTTTTTCACTAACCTCATTTTCAAAGTTTTTACTTGCATTTAAATCCTTTCAAAAGCCTTTGAAATAATTATGTCAATATAGCATAAACGTCTTATCATTTACATCATTACTACTTGGAAAGTCCTCCCCTCTATTAACTATATTGCCATAATCAAAAAAAATGCTCATCTGAGACCACAGGGTTTGATTTGTTTGGATGCAATATATTGAAAATCACCTGAGACAGGGGTGGGGGCTTAAATTCAGAGGGCAATATACATCATATGTTGGAGACAGCGGTCATACTGCAGACTTAATGAGGTTTCACTGAGGTCGCTGCATTGCCTGAGAAGGTGAGTAGCACTGGTGAGTGGGGAATATGTGCACCGCTGTTTTTATGGGTTTATAGACTCCATAATATTAATCAAAAGCAATCATACATGATTTTAGATTGTGCCACATCCAGAGCAAGACTGCAATTTACGTTTCATTCCCATGACAACTTAATTACTCCCTGCACAACATCACCCTTCATCACTGTTATATAGAATAGCTGCAAGATAGAAAAAAAAATCTTCACTCACCAACTATTTCAATGGACTCTTTGTTGTAGAGTTTTTTGTTCCAGTAGAGCATCCGCAGGAAAGGAAATGAGGTGAGAAGGACGAGGCAGATTCCGAGAAACATGTAGCCTGTGAAGCTGGCAAAATCAATTCCCTGAAAGACAAAGAATAATAATGTGTAAGACAATGACAAAGTTTTTTTAGATTAAGAGGCAGAGTTTTATTAGATATACATAAGTTCTTGTACCAAGAAATCAGTTTTGGAAACAAAAAAAGTTTGACATGTACAGAAACAACATAGAGTCGGGTGCTCCAATTAGAAAGCACCGACTGACAAAGTGTTAACTGAACCACTCTATCGCAGAAAAAGGTCCAAAGTGAAAATGTCTTTTGTCCCAGGTTTCAACTTTAAAAATGTACCAGAAGTGATTTATGTGCTTCAGTACTTTTTATGAAATCTGCCTGTGAAAACTGAAACTGAACTATTTTTAATATACAGCAACAGATATTCATGAACAATAGGAGATACAAAATGCTACGACTGATCAACCAATAGGAATGTTCATTGCTGCAAGCCCCAACCAATGAGTTCTGTGTACTCATCAAAATACTCTCTCCTAAGCAGAGACTTATTGGAGGTCATAAAATGAACCTGGACCTTTAAGGAAGAGTTTAGAAATTTTGTAGAGGGATTTTTTTTAATGCCATTACAACCAGAAAAAAAGTCTCACCGGTATATAAGACACATTCTGTTTTTGGTCGTCTCCCAGGGGGAAAAAACAACGTGCAGTGCCTGTGCAGCTGTGTAGCTCTTTGTAGTAGCATCAATTTTCACCATGTGACATGCGGAGTTCCCAATCCTACTAGCTACCAGTACAATAGTTGAGCTCTCAGCCTACAGTAACGTTTATAGTTAGAAAGTACGGATCCACAGCTGGTCACTTGAGGAGTCCATAGGGTATATTTACTACAGTATACCACCGTTTCCTTTAAAGGCATAATTATGACCCAATGAGGGAAAAAATTGATAAGCTAAGCTTGTATACCAGCATGCGGACGATTATAATACACACTATATCGAGGTGAATTTTCAATCGCGTCAAGTGGCATATAGTGGGTGATAATGGCAGCTCTATTTGTGGTTGTGACAGCGCATGTCTCTGCATTTCATACTGGTATTGGTTACATCAATATATAATAAGCAGCCCATTTTTTAGATAAATAAATAGGTCCTTAATGTGTATCTTATACACTGGATTATACTGTACTTGGCGACAGTGAGTAAGTTATCTACGGTAGTTAGTTGTCAACATGGACCCGTCTTAGAAAAGCCAGGGTTTTAGGAGAACAGCTGTTGGAAGGGCTGCAGCAAATCTAAGCCACCTTAAAAATAACATCAGTTAAAAGAACACTTTTTTAAATATATTTTCACATTGGAAAATGCTATCATGACTCTGCATCTGTATTACAGCTAATTGAGTCAAAACGTTCTGTGAGCTAAGACTAACATTAAATTTTACTTTAACTCAGATCTGAACTGTCCCTTTTCATTAGACCCTGGTCCCTGACTGAGAATACACAAACTCCTATTGCATGAGGGGAAACACTTTCAATAGAAATGCAGCTGTTGGAAGGGAAGAACCCTGATGTGGGTGTAACCACTATTGCTATATGAAGCCCAGATGTTAAAATGAACACAGTGGCATTATGTGAATAGGCGTTACAATACGTAAAAGTTAATATCACAGGGCAGTCATAGGAAAGTACAAAAAGACACTAAGAATGTGATCATAGCACATAAAGGGGTGATGATAATAGCATCCTCAAGGTTTTACATGCCCCTCCAAGCTGTAGACGGAAATGGAGCACATCTTACTTGCTGCATGAGTAAAAAGACCAAAGCCTCCGGCTGAGGCTGTCCTCATAATGGAGAGCTAATCTTTCCCAGAGAACACAATTTTATCAGATACACCTTTGGAAATGTGTCCCTCTCTAATTATTATAACAAGTTTGAGGTGAAATGCATAGTCGTATAACAGACAATAACAGACATTCTTTTGCCCCTGCCTCTTTCTACCACAATACAATAAAACACACAAAATGAGTACATCAGCCTCTCAGCAACCTGAGTGGCTTTTATAAAACAAGAGCCTCTAAAAAAAGAAGAAGATTGATTCATACTGTCTCTATTCCTTATACTTCCACATAGTAGAATAGAGCAGAATAGTCATGAAACTGTTGAACAGTGACCTCTACAGGATTTGTTATTTTTCAAGTTGCAACAAAAGTCTGAATGAAGGGGGAGGAGGGTTTGGTATATTTAACCCTGCAGCAGGACAAAGAGGAAAAATATTCTCAGACACGGCCTTTAAGATCTGAAATATCAGATATAGAGTATTCAATTAAGTCCGAGTGTGCAAAAGATCGTAAACATCTCATCAAGTCTGCAGTAGATTAAATGCAAAGGTCCCTTTCATGTCACACAATCCATAATTCTATCACTATGTCGTCTCATTGCCTCACTCATACAGCACACCGCTCTGCTTTATTCATGCCTCCATAGAGACCTGCTCTCGCAGTCTGCTGTGACCCTCAGGGCAGCCTGGTGGGTTGAAGAGAACTGCTCATGCTCAAGCAAGCTTGATAAAAATGAATACTTGAGCCTCTCCTAGATGGAGTTTTTGATCCTGATATGAGAGCAAAAACACAACAGATTACTTGGGCTGTAATCTGGGGTTGTCTCACGTACAATTTTGTGCTATTTCTGTCTTCATTTTTATTTCAGCCTCATGCCTAACTCCTATGCAAACCTGAATAAGACTTATGTTGTACCTTTAAGACACAAAGCAGCTGTTCATTGGATATCCGCAAATTAGATTGACTAGACTGCTGAACAATATGGCTGTAGCACTTAACCACATGAAGGAATGTAGTCAACTATTAAGCTTAAGTAAGCTCCACCTCAGCTGCCAGATCATTTTCGACATCGTTTGTGCACTTGTTTTTTTCACTCATTTAAAAAAAGGTGGATGCTCTGCAACATGTTCTGCAGACGGTGAGGAGAATATTATGAACTAGGGAGCGCACTCTGCTGGACAAACTCTATGATGACACCATTTCTAAAACCACAGAGCACTGTTTTGTGAGATATCATCATATCATTGATTTGGAATGTTATAAAAATCTCACTTGAAACAAAAAAAAAGAAAAGAAAAAAAAATTACTTTTATCTTTGTCCCAATTCAAGACACATTTTCCCGATCACTAGTGGTAAGAAGCAAAACACAAGACTGCAAACGGCTAATTGACGTCAGTTTTTCCATGTGTTTGCTGATGTTATGTATCTCTGTTTGCAGCCATTATTGACCCTGTTGTGTTCATGTTTCAGGGGCCAATGTCGACCACTCTACTGACCGGTTGGAGAAGATCCACTTGGCATGGAGAGTCACCAGTGTCCCTCAGTGACATCATACCAAAATGAGATTGAGATTTTGTATGCGCCATGCTACTTCGCTCTGTGACAACTCAAACACAAGGACACTCTTTTGAGTGCAGAAATGCACACTTCACAGCCAAGCTGTTCTTTCTATTTCTGGATTCCCCCTCAAAAAATCCCCTCAACACAAACAAGCAAGCATGCAAACAAACAAAAACTCGCAGCCAAGCAAACCATGCATGCCCACACAAGCTGTCCTTATCAGAGGCCAGACATGACTGGATGAACGCGCTGCCGCCGTGTCCCCTGCTCTTCTGTCACCTGGGAAACCAAGCCAAGACAAACTGGACAGCAGGTCTCGGGAGCCCAGTGAAACAGGATGCTACTGTACACTGGAGGAGACCACATATTGCTGCACCCGCAAAGGGCTGAAATGTCACACGCCACCGACAGATGCCACATCAAGCAGCCGGGAAAATGTCATGTCTTCTAGTGGTGCAGCTTTTTGCCCCTCCGAGCATAAGACGAGTGAAGGTTATGAGAAGAGCCTAAGTCATTGCCCTTTTCAGACGGCGACAGGCTTCTCTGATTAACCGAGGGAAATGTTCTAACCGCTGTTTACTTTCGTCATAATCTGCCGACACGTTGAAAACAGTGAAGGAAGATCTGCTGCTGAATGTTAAAGTTAAATAATTTCAAATTATTAAGTGTAAGGCAGTTATCATTTGGAGCTGTATATCTGTACTTAATGGAGATTAAAACCTACAACTTTTCAAGACATGGACCAGCCAAGAGGAGGAATATTTTTTTTGTTCATTTATTGCATTCTAAAAATTAAGTCAGAAATAAGTTTGAAATGAGAGAATAAGCGACATGACAAGAAGATCACTTGAGGAGAATTAAAAAAAGATAGGGACAAAACGTCAAGATTTAAGACTGTTAAGGAAGGATAAACTCAAAGTTAGAAATACAGTTCAAATGCCTATTAAGTAAAAAATGCTAAGTTAATTAGAGAATTCTAATACTTTCATAATAAACTTTAAATCTTGACGTTATTCCAGAGATTGTTGCTGTTAATGCGAATGGGATAATAGAGACCTTTACTGGTTCATTATTTTGAATGAAAATTAATAGTTTGACTCCTGCTTCAAATGCAAATGTACACTGAGTGTCGTTCACCTTAACAAAAGGTGATGTAGACGCACAGAGACAGAGAGACCTGCGCTCATATTACAGCGCAAAAAGGTAAATGACAAATGGACTTGAGCTTGTATAGCACTTTTCTAGTCTTCTAACTACTCAAAGTGTTTTCACACCGCACTTCACACCCTGATGCTATGCTAAGTGTCCATCAGTATTAACATGTCACTGACAAAGCAGCGGGAGCAAATTGGGGTGAAGTGTCTTGCCCAAGGACACATTGTACATGTGGCTGAAGGAGGGGATCGAACCCTGACCTTTTGTTTGAGAGACCTTGTTGAGTTATTCACACTATGTGGAGACGTAGTAATGGTAGACTAAACACACGCCTATGTGCTCAAGTATGACAACATCTGGCTAATATTGTGCAAATATTAAATGTAGTGTGTGCGTGTTTGCATTCATCGTGTTGCCTAATAGATGCCTTCATATGCATAGTGGTGTGTGATTTGAGCTTGATGGGCTCCGGTGATTTTGGCAGGGTGGGTCCAGAGAGGGGCCAGAGAGGAGATAATTGAACCTTGATTGGCCACCAAAAATCAACTATTGGGCGCATGGTTGCAACTGAAGGCGAGCTGCTTTTTGCATTTCAACGCGACAGATTTCCAGGATATTTTATATTCAAAGAAAATACAAGTATTTTGAAAATGTGATCAATCCAGATTCATCCAAGCATCTAATATGATTGATCAGAAAACATTTATTACTGACAGCATTACTCCAAATTCAAACTAATAACAAAAACATATTTTTATTATTGTTTCATCACAAATAAATGTAAAACACAAAGGGCTTATTTGATATTCAATGAGGAACCAAATGAATTTCTACAGTACACAGAAAAACAAGATTACATCACCCTGATTATGATGGCACAAATATCTAGATTGTCATCAACCATCCAACACTCAGAGAGGGGTCCATGTGGAGAAGGGCTGACTGTCAGTTACATGCTTTCACACAGGATTGCATCAGGAGTGACACTGTCTCCTTCACAAGTTTAATCCCACTGTAATCCCAAAGAGAGGGACTCCAATGTGCCCAGGCATGCCACTTATATACTGTATGTGACGAGAGCCACACCAACACAAGCTGCTGCTGCTGCTGCTCCTGAGGTGTGTGACATGTCTCAAACTATCGGTTGGTCAGAGGTGTGGCTCTCCACAAGGGATCTCCCACTGCGGGTAGAGTCTCGCAAATTGTCGCCACGCTTCGTTGGCCCCTTCAAGATCATTCGAAAGATTAACCCTGTCACTTTTCGACTCCTGTTACCCCGGTCCATGAGGATTCACCCCTCGTTTCATGTTTCTCGCCTCAAGCCAGTCTGCACTAGTCCACTGGCACCTCCAGGGAGGCCTCCGCCTCCACCCAGGTTGGTTGGGGGTCAACCAGCTTATACAGTCCGGCGTATATTGAACAGTAGACTGGGAGGGATATGGTCCTGAGGAGCGTGCCTGGGTCCCAGCTAGGGACATTTTGGACCCGAACCTTATCCGGGACTTCCGTCACGCCTACGGCCCGCTGGCTCGATTGGAATGCGGGTGCCGTTCCTTAGAGGGGGGGTCCTGTGAGGGCACTCACTCTTTCTGCTCAGTGAGAGTGGTGAGAGAATCAACTCATCAATCACGCTTTGATTAAGCCCAGGTGTGGGGATATTTTCATATACCCTGAGTCTCCAGTGCTCTGTGCTGACTCATTATCTCACCTTCTGAGGTACTGAGAGGTTCTCCCTGTGGTTTCTCGAGTGGTTGTGTGTATCTACGTATAAACACAAACGAAGAACTTTCTACATAAGATTTCCGTTGCTGGTCTCCCAGTGTTTAACTTGGGGTGCTGGATAGTTTTGTGTCTACTCCAGTCTTTTGTGTTATCAAAGGTCTCCCTGGCAGCCTTGGCTTTTTGTTTCGTGTTTTCTGGGTCTCCTGGACAATTTTGGTTTTGAGTCAGCTGCTTGGCAGCAGTGGTTTAGTTAATACTTTTCGGTGCCTTATTTAGGTTAGGAAGCCTGTTGTGGCTCTAAACAGTTTTGTTGTTTCTTCCCCCTTTCCAATCTATCACTATTGCGATTTTGTGGTTATCCTTCTAGGATAACTTTGAGACACCCCTGGGTCCGCACTTGCGTCCCAATCCCCACCTCCTCCCTGACATTATCTGCTTTATTCATTAAAACACACATTAACTTTGCTCTACGTACAATCACCCAGACCAGAGATTTGTCCTAGGAAATAAAGCATTGTCCATTTGACTGATGACTCAAACTTTAGGTGGCAGCCACCTCGACTTCCGGTGTAGCCAAAACAGAATTACAGTTACCTGACATTAAATATGATTTTGCCTAACTGAAGCATTATTGTTTCAGCTGTGCAATTATTCTGAATTTGACAACATAAAAACAATGAATCCCCTGTTATAATATTAAATGTTTGAAACAAGAGACATTATAGATTAAAGGGAGTTTGACCTGCTATAATTTAGACACAGGTGGAACAATCTGGACAATATTTTTGCTTTCATCAAAGCTGCTACTTCTTTTCACCAAGCTTCATAAAAATGGGAATAGTAGTCCATAATCCAAGAACAAACAAACAGAGAGATCCATGAATAAACATTCAAGTGCACATAACCTCCATGACGGAGAGAGAAAGTAAAATCCTGTAAATGGCGGCTGTAGGAAGCTGAAATATTGTGTAACATTGGTACTCTAAAATAGGAAGGTGTTAACACTTGTTTTCTTTGCTATTCTGACATTTTTGATTCATGTGATTTATGGCTGCAGCAGCAAAAAATACAAATTGTTTTCACTGCAACAACATCTTCATTTATCACCTGAACATCAACATAAATAAGAGTCATGAATAAGGACTGTAAAATACACTGAGAGCTTGTGCTTAGCAGAAATCTCACATGAACAACCTGCAAAAACAGAAGGTCTACGATGCATACACAGCATACTCCTAAATGTCTGTATCTACGCTGTGAGGTTATTCACTGCAGGAGCTGTGATAGGTCATGAATGTCAGAGAAGGAATACGGGGGCTTTAGAGAAACTGTATGCAACAACATGACTAAAATGCTGTTCTGTGAAAGAACGACTACTCAACACACACTTCCACTTCTCTGGGATCTTTTTGACTTCCTGTGTAAAGTGTCTCGGAGTACATTCAAAAGCACACTTCAAATAAAAATCATCATAATGTTATGTGTTCTCTACCCAGTGCTTTTACATTAACCTACTTTACCTTTTTACTTCAAGTAAAAAAGCCTCACAAAGGAGATAGAAACATCAACAGAGTGCTTCAGGAACACAACTTTCAGAAAGAAAAGTTCAGTAAGCGCTCCAATGTTAACCATGAAACCTTTACAAAACTGTTACTGATGAAAATAATGAGACTTTTGTTTTAGAGATCTGGATCTCACATCCATTTAGCATCTGATTAAGCACATTTGAGGTACAGCTAATCTACAACTACATTTCTGTTAAGGTGACTATAACCTCACATATAGTTAGCTGCCCTTCATATTATAGTTCTACTGGTATATAAGACGCAGGCTGCTTTGGGGGGTCTCCCAGTGGGTAATAAGGTTTAAAATGGCAGCGTCCATATTTACTTTTTTCAGAATCTTCCAATGTCTCTATAAACCTAATTTAGTTTTACCAACTCGAAGAATCTCACTCATAATGCTTTTCCTCAGTTCATAGACCTGACTCTCCCTGACCACAGAGAGAATAAATAAAGGACGATTAGTGACATTAATACAGCCATAAGATGTGTTTCTCAATTTGTCAGTCACCTGTCTCATGTGTGCAGCTTGAACAGCCATTGTTCCTTCACCTTATTATGAGTACAGGGGGGTGAGGGTTAGGAAGAACAGCATCATGTTCACCTTACTAAGCATCTGGTTCATGTGTCGGATTACAGCAGTTGCATTATATTAGAGCAAGTTTAGGCATTAGAGCTGTGAAAGTGCTTACTTCTCTGCGCAGGTCCTGATTTGATACTATAATCACATTGGGTGGATCACCGACAGCTGTGGCAGCCCCTCCAATGTTGGTGAAGATTACTTCTGCAATCAGGACATGTCTGGGGTCTAGATTAAGCACCTCACACAACCTGCGGAATCAGATAAGAGACAGAAAAGCCCTTTAGCCCAGATTAGATTGGGACGTGTGGGAGAGAGTAATATAGCAATATAAAAAGATATTGGAAGATAAAAAGAATTGGTCCTTTAACATGGTGGCTGTACAGGATATCCCCCATGCTGCCCTGATAACAGGTTGGAGCACCGTTTTTCCCAAGATCTGTGTTGTGTTTATCTGCTGTCTAATTTCAGACGACTCAAATATTATCAAGATTCTGACCTGCTGGCAACAAACGTGGACTTAATAATGGTTCTCTGTTTGGACTTGACTCAAGAGCAGATAATAGACCACAATGGGGGAGAGTAAGAAGTGGGCGGGGCACATACTCTTGATCTGTGAGACAGGAGGAAATTGTAGCTTCTGTGTTGCAGATCTGTTTTTATGGATTTAACATCTGTTTGTCGAGGCTAGGATGCATTCAGCTTGTTACAGAGAGAAGGATGTGATCCATCAGCTGTCAACTTTAAAAAATAATTTAGGTCTGCAGGGTAGGAACCCTACCCTATACAAGAACTTTGAGTCAAAAGGTGAGAAAAGTAGTTAAGTTATAGATATATATTCCTGTTTTTAACTTTCTAAATTTACTGTAGCAAAAAACAGAAAACAGAATCAATGAAGTTTCTGATTAATAATAATAAATTATCTGGTTTACAGTAAATGTAAAGCTGCAGGCAGCAGTCAGGGGGGTCAGTTTGACAGAAAGAGTGGAGACAGCTAGCCCGGATATTACTGAATCAAGTCACACCACATCCTTCTGCTCACTAAGTAACATAATTATATCATTTTTATTTCTCCATATTTGAAAGCAAAGCGTCACTCTTTTTCAAGTCTAAGCTTCAGGTAAAGAGGTTATTTGTATGATTTGTTTATGTTTATGCATATCATTATACCTTTACATATTATTTTTAACAGACATTTTATTATATTGAACTCATGTAAGCATATTTAAGTGTAGGAATTACATTAACATAAAATGTCTTGATCACTGAAATAATGAGTTAAACTAGAATATTAAACTGAAAGTAACACTGTGTCCTAACAGCACGAGAGCGTTGAATGTCACGTTCGCACGCTCGCTGTCCACATCCGTTTAATATTTAATTCTCTACTCTGAGAATTTAGTTTCAAGGCAAAAAAATAAATTTCTTCTGGTGTTGTTGACACAAGTGAAAGCATTTCAATCAGGGATGTGGATATAAGAGATGCACTGTTATCTCCACTTGATGTATCGAGCTGCATCACTTTTTTTTTTTAATTCATTTCATTATTAAAGCCTCTCATATGATAGTTGTCAGTTTTTTACAAACATATTTTAGACAAATTATATGTTGCCGTGACAACTTTGTTTTCCTACCTGACCTCCCTTCTGTTTTTGACAACTATACACTCTGTAGGTCAACTCTTTTTATATTGAAAATAAGTTTACTTAATACTTTTACGTTAGATTACACTTGTAATTATTTGGTACCATTCATTTTTGTGTTTAGAAAAAAGCTGTCCATAAAGGATGAGTAAAGTTGTATGTACTATTATTGTGTTGTATTGCCTCTATATGTTTGTGGTAAACTGTCCAGGATGTACTCTGAGATTCTCATCCAATCCGAGTTCTTCTAAGCAGGTATACATTACAAACTGGAAGACATTTTAAATGGTTTTATGGTACCTTATAGTGACAGGAGTGAAAAGCATCATGGTGGTCACATTGTCCAGAAAAGCTGAGAGAATGGCGGCGATGAGACAGAGGATGATGATCATTGGCCAAACTCTTCCTCTGGATAATTGATAGGCCTGCAGAGAGAAGAAATATGACAAAAAAAGACAACATATTAGCAATCAGAATAGGAAACAAGAGGATGTCTGATTGATTCCCAGTTTGATTGTGGAAGTAGTGTTTCTACAGAAGATATCAGGTCATTCTGACATTAATAATCAGATTATTATCACTAAAAAATAGCCACATAATATATAGACTACCACATAAATGTACACTCAAGCTCAGTATGGCCACGTTTTGAATGGAATACAACAATGTGTCCGAGCTGTTCTCAGGGGAGGTATTTTAATTTGAAGAGCCTGCCCTCAAACGACTCGCACTTAAAATTCATGAGCCTGCATAATCCCTCTGTTCTCCAGGTCTGAGTGCTTCTGCACCTGAAGGACGCAAGGCATTTGCCCTCCTTCACCATCTACAGCGAGTGTTGAGGATTAAAAGAGAGATGTTTTTCTGGTTGTAGGAGACCTTGACCTTGTGCAGGCAGGATGAAGAGATTATCTTTAACTTGAGAATAAAATGTAAATGTAAGCCTGTGTATTATTTGTAGGATATATGTGGTTTAACAGCAGAGCAACAATAGAATGCAGATTAAATTAAATATACGTGTAAATCCTGAAATGTTTGAAATACAGCTCCTAAATACTAACAGTTCATTTTTGTCTTCTGTGGGACAAACCACTGAGCCCTTTTTTTTAAACACCATGCATGAAACCTTTTTGAGTTCTACTAGCAAAAGTCTAATCTCTACACTCACAGACGCCACAGTCAATACACATTTAAAACTATGCCTTCTGATTGAGAGAGTTTGACTCTTTTATTTTCAGTTATTTTACTCACAAACGAAGATTGATTGAGGGAGGTAATATTTAATTAAAAAGTACTGAGATAAAGTCTGATATTGAGCTGTCAGGAGATGAGCAGTACACATCGGCTGAGGAGATGCCTTACTAAGAAATGACAGACATCACCTACGTATATCTGATTAGAGAAGCTTCTGGAGTTTGCATTATTGATTATTATCTCAAATACACAGCATATGAAAATGTATCATTAACCGTGTTGCACTTTTTTCAAATTGATGTGTGCACTGGAAGAAATCTTCATGCCATGTTCCTTCACTTCAACCATTTAAATGATAATAAAAAAAATAATTTAAACCATATTCTTCCTGGACTCTGTAGACTCTGTTTTCATTAAATAAATCTTAAAAGTGATGTCTAACAAAAAAAAGAGCTCTTTTAAACGGACAGTCAGCGTTATTTATCATGTCTGAGTCTGGATGTAAACTCAGACATCTCAACCTTTTAGGGCTTCCAAATCATCGTTTTCATTTCAGACAGGTCAACATAAAAAAAACTCTAACCCTGTCAATTATCAGTGCTAATTTTAGAAACAGCTCAAAGTCTCTCACCTTTGAAGCAGCTACTATCTAAGATGTTTCACTCAATATCCTGCACGGTCAAAGGTAATACTGCTGACCTATCATTAAGGAATCCAAAAAAACACTTACTGCGGTGAGAACCATCAGGATGGCAGTCTTTATGTTACAGATTGTGTTATTTTCTGTTTAAGTACATAGAACTATCATCATCATCATCATCAGTAAACCAACCTTCACGGCACAATAATCGAAGAAGCCAGTTTCAGAGAAAATGGCCACCAGCACCATCTGGAAGAAACAGAACATATTTTCTTTTTAAATAAATAAATACATTTCATTATGTAACAAGATTTTAAGTCCTCTTTATATCTCATATGTAGTCCCGACAGACGACAGGAGGGCAACTCAACACAACACACTTTTAAGAAATTTAAGTTATCCCTCGTTTATAGTTCTTCATGTTTTATATCCTTTCCATACTTTGATATTAAACACATGAAAACACAAAAGATGAGAGAAATGAAGCCAAAAACAGGCTCCTAAAAAAGATTTTAAAGGAAACTGCAAGCCTGGTAAATCACCTTACACTCTATGACACACAGAGCCTGAAGTCATCTAACATAAGTGACATCTTGTAACACTTTAAAATAAAGGTACAGTAACAAAAGTGAATAATGACTGTCATGATGAGTTAATGCACAACTTAATCCTGTTGCTAAGCATTAACAAGAATCAAGTCCCTGTGACTTTGTGATGAATTCAGACTTGTATATTCATTTTAAAAAGTAATTGATAGTCATGATGTTATCTTGTTTTTTTTGTCAGATTAAACCTATTTAAAGCCCTATATTTTTTTTTTAATAATCTCTAAAAGCAGAAACATTAACAGACTTACAGTTACATTAATACAGCTGATTGGAAAACTACATGTAGTATAAAACATTTACTTCAAGTAATAGTGAATCCTTCAAACTTCCTGCATTAGTTCATGAACTGAATTCTAATTCCTCATGCAGTGCTGAAGCATTTCCTCAGTATATCATAGCTAACCTCATTGCAAAGTGTCCAACAGCTGGAAATATGTGATAATTCAGGATTTGTACGATACTTGAACAGTCTGAAGTTGTTTCAAGCATTGGTTAATCATTTTGTTTTGGCCTTATTGTGAAGTGTTAAAACGTATTTGTAGAAAGTGCACATATGAATCCAACACATGTGCTGCCTGCAGGTTTGAAATATTTTTCACAAACTCCCTCCGCTCTGTTCTGCAGATTGGAATAAAAATTTTAGTGGCAGCTGTTGACAGTGGAAGATATCCAAACGAAGCTGCCATCTGTGTCCACGCTTCATCATGAAATTCAGAATTCACTGACCTGCCAGGATTGTCCTCATGTGAATAATAAAAGAGGGATATTTCTTAAAGGTTAATTATGTGTTTTTAAAGTTAGAATATGTCTGAAAGAAAGGTTTCAAAAAGATTCGAGCAAGAAAGCCTCCAATTTATACCTTTACGTGACAGGTCATGCTTGTTTCCATGGAGACAAGGTTTTTAAAATGTCAGTTTTACTTGCCTCCACAGAAACAGATTTTACTGTCAGCGGTTTGGAAAAGTGTCAGAAAATGCATTGACAGGATTTAAGATGTCAGATGGTTCTCTACAATAGAGAAAAAGTAAAGGAAGATTTTTCTGCCTGTTCCAGGGTCCATTCAGTCCATAAACTTGTTTTTGAAAAAATCTGAATTAAGAGTCTAACCATTCCAAACAGAAGAGCCAGAGTCTCATAGTCAATCCACTCAACCACAGTCACCAGGCTGGGCCGCTGTGTGAGACACAAAGAACAATATAAGATTCAAAACAACAATGATCACATCCTTGAGGAAACAAAAATCAATGAACTAGAGCGACATGTTGTATTTGAAAGATGAGATCAGGCAAATGTTATTCAGTAAACTTCCAGTAAATTTGAACAAATGCTTAATTTGTTTTTGTTCACTGATATAACTCCTCCCCTGCTTACACTCTGCCTTTATATGGTATTGTGTTTTTCCACCCTCCTGTTGTTTCAGCACAGGCACAGATGAAACTCAAAATGTTGACAATGGTTCTGTTCCAGCAAAGTGTTCCAGTTCCTACTGGCCTAATGTCATCAAACTGGAACCAGAATTAACTATATTTAAATAAAAAGTGTTACAGCCAGGCTTTCGCTGCATGAACATGGAGCTCATTTCTGACCATTTTTAAAGTGATTACTCTGATTATAATCAGACAAGCGCAATCCTCATTCAAGCCCTCCAACATGAATTAAACAGGTGACATGATATTTGATACTGAATGTTTTCAATGCTGTAAAAGTAACATGAAAGTGTTAAACATGTGTTTAATTCTAACCCAGCTCTGTGCAACATGCTCACAGAAAATTATTGAACAACAATGTTTCACAGGCAAGGCACATTAGGACTTTAGTGTTTCTTTAAGATGTTTCATGGGACTCATGCCACTTCAGTTAGGACAGCTACAGTCGTAAGCTTACAGCTATAGAGCTAACAAACTAACTCTAACCAACAAATCTGCAAGCTAATGTTATATTTCCTCTGCCAGGACTTCCGCCTGTTCTGCAGATTTTAATTGGGCTGACTGATGCCGGGCCAATCACAACAGGTTATTTAGTGTTGGCTAAATTTGAAGAGCAGTTAAAGCCATTTGATAAACAGCCAAGCTGCTGAGTTTTAAATGTTCTAAATCTGCTATTTCATTGGTATTTAATGAAAAGTCGACAATTCAACTTACAAATGGTGAGTGCTGGCTCCATAACAATGACGAGTTAAATGCCCATGTGTATTTTGTGTAACTAAACCTCAGAACTTTGTTGTAATAACAAGCCACCTTAAGCCATGCAGCTTTGTACTGCCTCACACAGTTTGTTGCTCTGCTGGGTTTAAGCATCAACTAAACTTTACTTTCTGAAAATGAGAAATGAGCTGAGAGATTTACTATTTGTGAATTGTCTGAAAATCAAAACATTCCCTCTATTTTCATGCTGCAGTTTGTTCCCTGAAATTGACATCAGATTGCAATCTCATTTCTCCACAAATTGTTTTTGGATGAGCTTCATTTTCCAAAAGATTAGTTTGAACAGTAAGAAAACTTACATCACCAATGAAAGCCAGAGCTGCTAAGGCTGCGAAAGATCCCAGCATGGCAGCTAGGGTGCGATGCACAATCTGAGAAAAGAAATATATACATTAATTTTCAATTATCTAATTTGGAATCAAAGACGATGACAAGTATTATTCAATATCAACATTTAGACACAACCATTCTATTTTATTCCAAAATAATCTCTATCTAATAATCTATAATACATTTATTAATAATCTATCTGTGAACAAATCTTAAGTCCCGTGTTTAACAAAGTAATAACTATTTTCTGTGAAGTCCCAAGTGAATTACATTTAAGTCATGACTGCATATCAACACTTATTCTAGTCTTTGTTGTTTGGGATATTATATGATATTATTTTCCTGCTTTTTGTTTCATTAATGGTCAATTAGAGAGCGATTAAAAACAATTATTCTCAATTGATAGCCCTAAGCTTTGTGACTTCCCCGGCCTATAGTAACACTGATGACTGGTTTATTCAAGCAGCTTCAATGAGCATGTGTGTTCTGCTCATAAGAAAAATGAGTTGTATTTTTCATGAGAAGCCAAATTGTCTTAAATACAAGCCGACCTTGTTGAATAGCTCAACAGTAACTTGGGACCTGTCACTCAAGCTGAATAACAGCTCTGACGCTCTTCAGACGTTCCTTTATTATCTTTTTGTCCAATCTTTTAAAATAATGCATAATGGAGAACAAAAGCATTCTCCCTAATTTCCTCAGCCTTTGTTAGAAATATACTGCGCTGTAATTCTGTACTTAAGATCTTTTTAAGAACATTTCACTAAAGTGCCCATTCAAAATAAGATCAATTATCTAATGGAGAAAAAATCAACGTCCTCTGCAGAGTGAGGCATTCAGTGATGGCTGACACCTGAAGACATCTTGCTGATGTCTGAATAGCTGTGCACTGTATGCTCTCAGACTTTACAGACAATCGCTCACACTTTCAATTACAGCCTCAGCAAGCTGACTGTCAGTAACTGTAGCTGACGCATGGGAGTATGTGTGCCGAGTGTAACTGTGCTGTCATCTCTCATAGCCTGCTTCTCACTTACACATCATAGTGTTGCCCCTGCAGGCACAGATTAGCAAGTTCACACCCTGTCACACTGAGGGAGATTACCTCATCTAATTAAAACCAATCACTGACTGGAAAGAAATGAAAATAGCAGATGTATATCCAGGGAGCTCATATCTTATTAAGGATCTGTAAAAGTGAGGAGCTAGTGAGCAACACATCAATGTTAGGATTACGAATATGTAGGATGGAAAATAATGTTGTTTTGCATCTTAAAAGGCAATAAAACTGAGCCACTTACAACAGACTAAATGCACGTCTAATTGCCTTTTAGTTAAATAATTACATACTGTAAATATGTTAGTATTTCTGTTAATTATTACTTGTATTTAAGTCAAACTAAACTCTCTCCATTTATGTGAACGGAGACATTTCCACTGATGATGATCATGTTGTTTTCCATTTGTCCTTAGCTAAACTCAGCCTTCCTTCTTTCTCCATCTTTTTTGTTAATCTTTGAAGACTAATGTGTTTTAAGATTTGACAAACCCCTGCACATGCATGAAATTATTTTACTACCACTATCTGAAATTTGACATTTTTTTAAATCAGGTCTATCAGAGATTTATTTGCCTAGGATACATTTCTTTAACATTAACATGATTCCACATCCCGAGGTACCAATAACCGTCTTGTTTCTCTTAGGTACAAAAAGGAGCCTGAGGTGAAAGCAGCTAAATTAATCCAGCCAACAATATTTGTATTATTATATACATTTTTTCCTTTGCTATCATGAAACGACACCTGCTCATTGTACTAGTAAAATAAAAACCTTCAGGGATTTCACAGAGGTGTGCAGCACCATCAAGGCTCATTACATTTGATAGCATTAAAATCAAACTTACCTCTGCTTTAATAACTACAGAAATAAAGATAAATACAGTTATATACTGAATTGAACACAAAGTCAATCATCATTCATCCATCGCTTTACCTCAAAGATGATGAGAATATAGACTCCAGTTAGGATGATGCCAGCGATGGCAACCTGTGTCTCCACGTTGACATAGAGCGACTGGTGTGTCATGGATAACGGCACCACCTCGTTCTCATGCAGAAAGGCCTGAACTGTGATGGAGATGGGATCGCTGTGCAGCGAAGGAGACAACACAGAAGCAAAGGTTATATACGTGTGTGTCTTTCATTCAAACTTCTTTTAACTGTGTACAGAAAAAAAAAGTCCCCAACTCAAACTGTTCTCTATGTTATGATTCAAAGAAGCTATTGTGCATTTTGAAACCCATTAGCTGAAATCAAAACACTTGGTACCTGCTGATCATCTCGAAGGTTTTTGTTAACAGTATCTGGTCACTTCGTTCACCATGTAGAGGAATGGTCCAGTTATACATAACCTGTTCACAAACAGCAGGAGATAAATTAGTTTGGTTTTACTAATCAGAACTTCACAGATGATACAACAAAAAATGTAAAAAAGTACCACATTGGAATGTTTCTCACCGTCTGGGCCCGCCTCCTCCGTTGTCCGGCCTGCTCGGTCTGCTCCACCTGGATCAGGATGTACTCCTGTCTGGTGAAGTCAATCATTCCTCCTGCGAAAGGCCCTCCAACCTGGAGCCTTAGCAAAGCGTTGTCTCGAAAATCTGTCATGTTCATTGCTGTGGCGCGAGGACCGTCAAGAGAAACACATACTTTGAAGAGTGTTTTTGTATTTGATACAAGATTGAACAAAGTATTTTTGCAGATGTTTCTTTTTTTTATTTAAAATCCCTGAATGAAAACTAGAACAGGGAAGGAAAAGGAAAATGACTAAAGTACTTCTCTCCATAATGGAACTGATTAAATTCTCCAAAAGAAGAATAGGTCATCTAATAAACTGTGCAGTCCATTTTCAGAGAGTAAAAAAAAAAAAAAATTCTCCTTGAAAATGACTCAGAGATTAGAACAATGTAGTGACGACCATTCATTGGACTGTCAGGACTGCTAACACTCCCTTTCATATATTTTCTCTTGCAGCATTCACTCTGATTACAGCCAGATGAAGACCCTCATGGATTTACACCTTTCAAGGTCTGCATGCCCTCATACTCAAAGTAAAATGAACATTCATTATGATCCAACCCTTCCCTTGTTGATTAAAGGCCTGCTGAGACATTTGCGGCCCTCTTTCTGTTTGTTTCAGAAAATAATAGAGATGCAGTGGGAAGCTGTGGGGCAGGATACAGAAACTTTCTGTTGAGGAGACCGCCAGCATCCTCCAGGGGTTATTTCGATCTGGATACATGCTGAAGAAGAGCTGAAAGCATAATACATTCATGAACGTGTTATTTCCTCTGTCCGCACAGTTCCTTCCAAAGATACAGTGATGCTGAGAATAATGGAAATGGGATATTCAACACACTTTGTGGAAAAGGTTGGACTGCTGATCAACAGGAGGCCTAATTTCAAGTCCATTATGTTGTGTGAAATGTTACCGGAATTCAGTGCTGTAAGTGGACTATACTAAAAGTGGTCAAGTTTTGTAATTACCTATGAGAGAGTGGTTAGCATGCTAACTAACTTATCACTTAAGATATCTTAGCAAAGATATCCAAGCAAAGTTTGAGGCTATTGTCAAAAGGAGGTTAGCCTAAAGGAGCAATATGTAAAATATTTACAGAATTAAATGATAGAATGACCTTACTTTGTCATCAGACATTAAGGAAACATGCTATGTTGAAGTGCTGGCCAGATGTCCTCCTCCTAAAGTTTTGATTCTGGTCCTGAATGGTCAGATTTTATTTTTGAACTGAGAAGGTGGCGGTTTCAAGGCACCCCCACACCCTCAGTTTGCTGGATGTGAACCCTGTAATCACGGCAAACCAACAGATGTTGCAGTGATGGAAGCAGGCAAGCGAACTGGTTCAGATATAACTGATTCTACAGGACCTAAAAAAGCCAATTTTCTAATAAGCTCCACACAGGACAGTGTTAAAATTATGTTCAATATTAGAAATTATTTGGAAAAATAGAGAGAGGTTAGAGTGCAGAAATGCAGAGCTGGCTAAACACTGAAGCTTCAGTGTTGGCGACATGTCAACCCATGTGCACATCAGCTCTAGGGAGGAGGGTGCGGGGTTACCAGTTTTAAATACTACATGCCAGAGTTACATATTGCTCCTTTAAGAGTAAAAGTATTTTAAAAATCTAGCTTGGCTATTTCTAGGATTTAAAAAAAAAGAGTTTATTTTCAATATGATACTTTTATTCTCATCATAACAACAGTGTCAGTAACTCAAAATGAACATATCCACTTACACTGCAGAAAACAAGAACAGTAAAGATTATGGCAATTCTGGAGACTGTTAGGCACCGTCTGAAACGACAAGAACAGTACTTTGTAAATACGTTAAAGTAGACGGTGCTCGCTGAGAAAATGTGCTCTAAAGCACATGAAACATGAAAAAGTTTATAAGCCACCAGTCATGAACTATTAACCAAAGGGGTCTCACCTCATGCTACTAGTGAGTCTGAAGTTGATGTTGTCCATGGGGTCCTTATCTGAGGAGCCGGAGCGGGACAGGGACAGGCTGTTGACCTCACTGCCCAGTCTATACCTCCTCTCCAGGTCTAGAGGACCATTGTCCCAGGGCTCCCCTTCCCCTTCAACAAAGCTGGGTTCATGTAGGGTCATGTAGGTAATACTGGAAAAGAATAATCCCTGTCAGTCACTGGGAATAAAACAATACAACTTCAGTGAAATAAACATTGGTCTTAAGGACACCAACTGTTGTTGTAGGCTGGAATTGAATATTGTTCCTCCCCCTGTATAGGAAAACATGTCTGTAATAGACTAGCCTCCTACCATCACAATTTGATTACATTTGTTTTCCACACAATGTCAGTTGAATCAATGTAAGAAGGGTTGTTCAAAGATGTAATAAACTGAGCCATTTCATTAAAAGACACTGTTGGCATGTCCTTCTTAATCTTCGTGACAGGAAATGATGAAAAGCAAAAATTCAAAATCATAAAATTTGATCAGACGACACATAAAATTGCTCCAGTAAAGATCACACACATGTTTACAGATTGTGCTGCTCTAACTGTATTACACTGAGAAAAAGGCATAATCATTGGGATTAATTGACCAGTCCTGATTTTAGAAAAAACACAAGTGGTGTGGATTATACAGCAGCTGAGATTAAGACAAACAGTCACAAGGGTGCAGTTGGGTTGTGTGAATTTGTGTTTGAGTGATGTTCATAAATACATCAGCAATAACCTCTTATCGCCTTTGGCAACACCGACGTGTTGAAACTCTGATCCTACAGATTGCTATGTAAGGATACGGCTGACAGTATCTTCTTAGGGGACAGTGACCGGTGAAAACAGCACAGTGATTAAAAAGTGACATTGTGAAATAAAGTTCAAGAAAATATGTTTATATAAATGTAAAAATGTTTTTTGTTTTTTTTAAACGAATTCAACAATGATTGAAATATAAAATACTGAAACAAAAGCAGTAAAATCATATTTAACCACAACAGCGTGAGTTTTATCAGTTATTTCATTATTATGTGAATGATTGGTTTATGAGTATTTTGGGCACAATCATTTAATTTAATTAGTATTGTGTCTCATTTATTGTATTTAATATTAGATACTTTGGCTCCACACTCAGTAATCCAGAGCGTGAGGGATTACTCACCTCTCATCTTGAGAGAATCTCAGCAGTGGTGATCTCTCTGAATGGTTGGCTGAACTTGATTTTCCTCGAAACATATTAAACATGCCAAAATTGTGCCTGAAAAAGAAATAGATTACAATAAATCAAATGAAAACCAAAAATTGTTTCATCTTAATCTAAAAAAAAAAAAACATGTGTGCTCTGACCCAAAAGCCCACAGCTGTCAGTCACTGGTTAAAAAGGTTTTCTAGACCCTTTGTAACCCATAGGTGGCAGAAAGGTGGGTGAGCAGCTGGTGATCGGACACCTAAAGAAAGATCATTAAAGCTTCTTTTGTCACCCTGCTGCTGCACTGTGTCCCCGAGGCCCCTGCAGGCTGCCTCTGCCAGGAGCCTCACAGCTGGGTCTCAACCAACAATCACATCCAGGCACATGCACACACACCCACTCTATATCTGTCCACTCTATCATCTGTTTTTATAAAGCCCAACACACACACACACACATTCATTTAAAGCAGCAAGTGTTGATATTTATTATCCTAAAAAATGCCTTAAAGCATTACCATGGCACCCTCTTCCATACAAATTGCTATATTTTACTTCACCAAAAAACACCAATCTTCTATTTCATCAAGCCCACAGTCATCTCAGCAATTACTGTGACAACAGTTCAGACATTATCGTTAGAAAATGAAATAGCAGCCCCCAGAGCTAAAACTGTTTGATGGAAATCTTTTTCAAAATGAAAGTCCCTCTAGGCTAATCTTATAATCTTGAAGGGCATCCACCGTCTGCCTGTCAAAATGGTCGGTGCTGCAGTCTGTGCATCTCCTAAACCAGAAGCAAGCAGTTTTGTTTACTGTAATTTCTTCCCCAAAAGTGTTCTGGGTTAATTAATGTACCAATATCAGGTAAGTGTTGCACTAAAGATAATTCAGAAATCTATAATTCTTTTCTGTAGTTATTGTTGTTGTTGTTGTTGTCTTACACATCTAGAGGGCATTACCAAACACACTCCAGACAGTTGGGGCTCTGAATCAATGAATGCAGTGAGGGTGTTGGATAAAGGAGTAGATTGCATTAGGGAAGTCTGCTACATTAATCCTCTTTGGAATCTCTCATACAACTAAAAAGAGATTGACTGCATGTCTACAAGTGTTTTCTTCCCTCCTCTTACCTGATATGAATCTGATCTTGTCCCTGATATGTCTTGCTGATAGTATTGTCTCACCTTGAGGAGGAGTCTTTATAAAACATTGAGACAGCCTTGATTTAAAGTCTACCACTTTATGAGTTTAAGTCAGTGCAATTATGTGAGGTGCTTTCCATCTTTTTTGGTGAACCTTAAAACTCTGTAAGAATTCATGCATTTGCCCGGGCAGATGTGTTCGGTTCATCTCCTGTTCAGACAGATTTGCATCCATCCAGTTTAAGTTCAGCCAATCACAGCCTGTATTCAAATGTTGGGCGGGACAAAGGCCTTTATGAACGTGCATTCATAACATTTAGAATTACCCATTGCCTGTGTTTAAAAAAGTTATTCAATTCTGGGGGAAAAAAAACATACATCCATATATTAAAAGCTATGAATTGATTTTTTTTAAATTAGTTATCTAGCCTAACATCCTACCATGACATATATTTTATTGTGCTCCTTAGTTGTAGCATCCAGAGGCATTTTTTGTTGAAAATTGAAGATGACAAAAGAGGTTCCATGCCAAGATCATTTTAATGTAAGAAAGGCTTTAACGAGCTATGTGACTGGATCCGTTTTTACCAAGGACTGTAAATGAACATGGACATGGTCTGAGTGTTCTGAAATCCTGACCCTTTCAAACTTTCCGTCAACCTTAGAAAAAAGGCAAAGAGCTTGATCTGAAACTTACTACAACGGAGTGGCTTGCAGTCATTTTGCCACGCCCCTAATTAGTCGTAACTCATGCCCTTCATAAAATAAAAAGGTGGCCACTTGTTGTTTACTTATAATTTAGCACCTTGAGTACAGCAGATAACAAAACAGAAAAAATTACCTTACATGTGCATTTATTTGAGCCTTTTTTATGTCAATCTTTCAAATTCAAGTGTAGTTCATTCTAATATAAACTATTTTTTGTCTTCTACCCATCACTGAAAGATGACTGGTATTTTGTTTGTTGTTTCTCACTTATTGCATCTGTTGTTAAGCTCTTAGCGGGTAACAGAGGGCTAAGCAATGGGCAAAGATTTAAATTTTTTATGACACAAAATACAATATCCCTAATATAAATAAATCAAAAATAGGATTTAAAATACTGATGGCAGTAAATGTATCAAGATAAAATGTATTTCTTTCCATGAAAAAGACTTGAAAGTGCTTTTGCTGAAGTTGTACAAACAAAAGTTGGTACAAACAGAACAAAGTTAGTTCCCTTAAAAAAGTAAAAGCAAGCAGATTGGCCTCCAAGTTGCTAAAATACTGATGACAGTGTGTCTTTTACAGGATGTAGAAACACTTTCATCTCCTTCAATTAATTTAGCGAATATTTCAGGTGTGTCCTGTGTGGAATGAAAATTAATCCTGCAAATGAGAGAATCTCTCAGCCAAAGCTTGACAGCGGAGGGTTGTGTTAAATTGAGCAAAAAAGGCATGATCAGTTGGTACTGATCCAGTACCAACCAGAGGAGAGATCCAGAGGAAGCTGGTCCCTTCTGGTGCCCCTAATTAAAATTTAATGCTATCTATTGTGTTATATGAGGTGTAGCCATGGTTTTTTGACCCTCATCCCATTATTATTTTTGATTCCTTATACATAGAGAAAGCAATCTGTGTGTTTGGCAAAAAGAACATTACTGCATTTTAAATAAATTGTAAAAAAATATATAACATTTTAAGCCTGGTCTTATTACCTCTTAAAAATAATAAAATACTCAAAAGTATAAATAAAAAAAAGGTTATTGATAAACTGCCCAACTTTGACAGCTGGTTTTCAAGGCTTTTCCCCAATATCAGGTGCCTAGTAGAACTGAAAATTATTATGATGAAAGCAGAGAGAGAGAATAGACAGCAGGTGTTTGGCTGTAAAAACAAAACAACGTGCTTACACTGATCAGAAACATCTATTGTTTCTTAAATATCTACAAAGTTGTTGACGTACCGGTACTTTCTACTGGTAGGTTGCTATGAGTAACTTATTTCACATTATACACTTATGTGTCATGTCCATCGCTGTTACTAACCTATAATTGTTACATGGCTGGATTCTTGTTGTGTGGATTATTTCCACACACTTTTTCTTTTTTTTCTTCAGGACAGAACATTTTCTTCTTTGTACACACTGAACACACAGCTACTTAACCATGAGGCATATTCTGAGAATCTGACAAAAGTGTAATGGATTAGCATTAAATACCCCACTTTCAAAAGTATCAAATCAACAACCTGAAAGTTACCACCATTGCAGCATGCTTTCAGCCGTAAAAATGAACAATGTGTGTCACATTCCTTTCCAGTGTTTTTTCCCCATGATTTTTTAAAAGTTTGTTTTCAGTGATCCATTTGTATAAGCTATTTATATCTATATGAGTATCAGACACTAGTGTCATCTGCAAATTCTATTTTGGATAGCTTATTTGAGACATTGGGCTGGTCGGTAATATAAATAACAAAGAACAAGAGCCCGAGGATTGAGCCTTGTGGCACAACATATATACACATTGGTAAAAGAGACACCAGTGTAAGGAAAACAAAAATTCACTGGCCCCTGAGATATAATCAGAAAACCAAGTTTAAATCCTCTGTGTATGTTGTAAGTATGGGATATCTATCCATAAACACTTGATTACTACTAATCCAGACTTCACCATAGCTTCAATGAAAGTTATCTTATATTAAGGAAGAATTAAAACTTTAGGCTTATAATTTTTCTTGGATGACATTTGAAAGATATGACAATGGTTAGCAGAATCCATGCACAGATCAGATCTTGTTTTGTAAATAAATAATCTATCAAGGTGGCAGATGTCCCAATTACTCTGGTTGGTACTTGTCTCAAATTGGACAATCACTGCCTCAGCAGAAGCTGTGAAATAATCTCAACCAGGTTTCAGTTATCACTTATAACAATATAATTTTAAAGGCTTCAAGCATAAATATAAATAAAAGGTGTAAGACTGTTTTGATTAAGTTTATGTCATTGTATTATAGTATGGCCAAAAAAACATGTTAAAAAATTCATACTGTTGGGGCACTGGTGGCGCAGTCATTAGTGTGCCCCATGTATGGATAGTGTTATAGTGGTGCCTCAAGCGTGCGGCCCAGGTTCGAATCCCATCTGTGGCTCCTTTCCCATCTGTGGCTCCTTTCCAGCATGTCGTTCCCCACTCTCTGGTTTCCGACTCTATCCACTGTCCTATCTCTCGATTAAAATCGAAATCATTAAATTTAAAATAAATCATTAAAAACTTCTAATGTAGATCATTTAACTTCCGCCGTTTCTGCTGTTGTTGTTACTTCTAAATGACATGTTTGAGTGTGATAGTATTTTTGTCAGTTGCTTTAGCTGTCTACTGCCAAAGATCCATCAAATATCAGATTATTAAGAAACATCCGGGATCTTTTGGTCTCTTGTATTCGTATCTGGTCAGTATCACACTAAATTAGAAAACTCTTTAATTTTTGAAAGTGGTAGAACAGGTTTGAAAAAGTAAGGTGTTAAGAGCCCATGTTCATTTAGCTGCCAAACATGAAGTGCTGCCAAAAAGATTTGTTTCATGCAGGAAAGAATTCCAGTTTAATCCCAATAACGTCATAACCATAGGCCTGAGATTAGCACCCTTCTGAGTGGCTGAGATACACACCCACATACACACACTTAAGTCCCTGAGTCTGTGAATGTTTCAACTTTACAAGAATTCTAGTATTTTCCAAGAATACTCATACATCCCCAGAAAGACTTAACAACCGAGGTATGTGTTACATGATTCTGCACGTGTGGTTAAAACTGTTATGTCTCATATCCAGAAAACCTACTGCAGGAGACACTGAGTGCTTAACTCTTTGAAATCCCTTTCTAAACTATAACACAAGAAAAACGTGCAGTAAAAAAAAAATAATCTTAAGATCTGAAGTTTAAAGGTCACAGAAACATAAACTTTAAACCTACATTAGATTTGGTTGCGCCACTTAGGGGAAGCAGAACACTTAGACAAGTTATACATATACATATATAATTTTTCTAGGTTATACTTCTTGACATTGGTAGGACATACTTTTTTTTCCTACAGAGTTCATGGTTATTCACAAAATGAGTAGGCAAATGTCTTGATTTAGAGTATACACAAGTGACATAAAGATCCACTGTTGTCCAATGAACACGGCAGAATCATTGGCTTACAATGTTCAATTATTACCATGAACCTGGGGACTATAATTTATATTTTTCCATAAAAATGCACCAAAAAAAAAAGAAGCTGAATAGTCCATAATTATTTTTCAAAAAAAAAAGAAAGAACATATATTCATGAGATTTTTGTACTCTTTCGTAACCAAATCGGCTTCAGCTATGCAAGTCAGAGACTACTGAAATAATATATGGTTGTTTTGATCAATTTTAAGCTTTCATATTCATATTTTTCATAACACATATAAAAAGTGATGAGATCTTTACTTATTTTTAAGTTTTGGCAGGTGTTGTTCTATAAGTGAATATTATTTAGGATATTTTAACTCAACTCCAAGCACCAAACCTTTTTGAGGGAGAGTACCACAGTGATAGGACACTCATTTAGTTTGTTATTGGCCAAGGTTTTTGCTTTTGCTTATCCAAGTAACCACTTAGCTCATCTACTCACTCACTGACATGTACTGTAGCTCAACCAATGTGGCCCTCAGGAGCAGCTTTATCCTCAATAATGCTTCTAAACATTCCCTAAATCCTGTCAATGAACTACCATTAATGAGCAGAAACACAATTTGAGTAGTCATACCCATCCTCTTGTCGAACAGGGAGAAATCCATCATTATGGATGGCACACTGTCCCGTGGGCAGACCTGAAGACTGCAGCTTCTGGGTTTCTCTCCGCTCTGAGAATCCTTGCAGTAAAAGCAGCTCCTCAAAGTTCCCGGCGACGGCCTCTGGTGACCTCAGGCTACTCCTTCCCTGTGGGCCTTGGGCTGACGTCTGAGACAACTCAATATCCAGGTTGCTTTTGTTTTCCAAATACATGGTGAGACAGCTGGAGGGTAGGTGGAAAAGATTTGATTTAGTAGATATGTCAAAATGGGCAATTTCAACTATAAACCTACAATAACTGATGGAATGGCCAATTGGCAACATGCCCTCAAATGAGAAGTACATAGCAGTTGCATACAATAGCATACAGTTGCTTTTTGCATTATCAAACAAATGGTGTAACACATTTGTAGTCATGTAAATACTGCCATTAAAGAAGTCTAATATTTACTGTTTGAGCTGTCTTGCTTTTTACAAAGAAAAACATTTACTCTGTAGCCTCTTCATGCTTGAAGCTATGTCAAACTCCATTTGTTTGTTATTGCTGCATAGTTCAAGAGTTGTGGTACTTGGTACTTCATTATAAAGTGCAACAAAGTTCTTGAAGGAAGTAAGTTGGATAGCATATTTACCCAGAAAATTGCAATTTGAGTTCCCTGTATGACCAAATCTATTACTGTAATTTGCAATTATAGTCCAAAACACTATCTTGTTCTAAATCTCATCAAGTACTTTAGGTGCATAGATTGAAAACAAAATGCAATGTCAAAGTTGAAAAACTACTGGGTAAGATTTAGGAGACAATAATGGTTAAGACTAAGGCTATACCTCAACCTTACTTTTGATTTATAACGGGACACAAACGGTGGTCTCCCGAAGAAAAAGCAAAATTCATATTTTACATAGTTTTAAAGGTTTAGGTTCATCTAGAATATAGGATGTCCTTATGACTGTTGTGTCGTCTAGTCGTTGTATACTGAGCAGGTAGTGTACTCTGGGTATGGGATAGTCTTTAGCTATGGAAACAACTCCCTGCTACCACTGACACTATATGAGTAGTGAGAGGTGGTTACACTTGATTTTTGAAAAGTTAAGTGACTTGTACAGGTTATTTCATTGTGTAGTAAAGAAATACAAATTCCTTGCAGGGTTGAGGTCTATGTGAAAAAAAAGTTTTTGTTACTGATTTGCTATTTCAGCACAAACATCATTCTTTTCAGGAAACCTAACCAAGTACCATTGGTGCTTGATCCTCAGCCCATCTACATTTTGAAAAAGCCACAGATAGGGTCAATTTGCTCGCAGGTTAAGGCACAGATCATTGTTTGGCCTTAACAATAATATTTCAACACTGAATGGCAGTCTCTTTGACAAAGGAGAAAGAGCGAATGCACATTCATGGGTGAGTTTACAAAAACCAAAGTAATCATTCCAAATGATACCATATTTCCTGATTTGTTTCTAACTTTTTCTGCCTGCTAATGCTGTGTGTGCGTTAGTGATTGCAGTGCAAAGTGTTTGTGTTCTTTCATAAAAAATGGGCAAAGCACCTGCAAGAAATACGATTAGCTGGCTAAATTGATTTAACCGGTACTTACAAAGCGGAGTTCAGTGTTAAGTCCATTTTGAAATCAAATGGATTATGGAAGTATTAAATAGCCCCCCTAAATATGATCTTATCCAAAACCTTACCAAAGAGTTTTGATCGCAAAACCACACTACCTTTAATGTTGTGAAAAGGTTGCAACAGGTTTCAGTTTGGTCACAGGTTTAAGGACCAAAACTACTTAGGTTAGGTTGAGGGCAAAGACCATGGTTTTGGCTTTAATTATGTCAGTGTTGACTTCATCAGTCTGTTTTCACATATCAATGGTATCCACCTCTCACCACTCTCATAATGCTATCTAGTTCCTGAGTTATTTACTACATGCCACCATCTACTTTCTTGGTGACAGGGAAGTGTACAGTTAGTTACACAGTGAGAACAAGATTGCTGCAATTGCAGTGAGAGTGACCAAAAACACAGTTTTTTCTTGGTGGATAAACAACATTTAAGTCACATCCCTTCTGTTTTTGTCAGAAAAAACATAAAACATAAACTTGAGCTACACACAATTTTAGATTATGTTGATTTCTAAAACTCTGGGGTTGGCTTTCACTGTGTACTTATTGAAACAAAGAATTTTGGAAATGATATGGCAAACAAACACCCACATTTGTTTTCTGATTGGGTCTTATCAGCCAAAACATTCCATACCCTGATTCGTCACGCCACTATCACAAAATCCTTTATTCAGGAAGTAATCATCAGCCTCGACTTGAGGGGTTTAAATGAACATAAAAAAGTAATAACAGGAATTTCAGAACTTGTTGTCTTTGCTCCTACTACTGCCTGCATCTGCAGGAGGCTCCAAGCAATCCCATATCCTGCTGCGATATCAGCACTACTGTTCTGCCTGAGAGAACCAATGCCCGTTAACACTGGCACTGAGTCCATGGGAGGTCATGTGACTTGTGCCTGTGTGTGATTTAGTATGGATGGATAATAGTTTTAAAATCGTACAAAAATGCTTTTCTTGATCGAGATCTTAAACACCCTAAATAAAAGCTTAGTAAGATAGTCATGTCCAAGATCTCAGATGCTTTTAATCTACAGAGAACCTCGAGAAACCACAGAGTGGGGGTTTTAAACTCCTGTGGGTTCACATACTAGTGGTCTTTTGACACACTATTAATGTAAAAATATTGATTATAGCAAATCCAAAGTTACAGGTATGGCTCTGACTTTTTAGTACACTTACTCTTTTTAAATAGATTTCCTTAATTTCATCAAAGTGTATTCATCTGCTTCACCACTGTTGACCTTCAGAACTTTCCTCATCAAGTGACTTGAATGATGCAGTTAACTTACATCACATCCTTAACCCGCTCTATTTGATACGTCAGTTACACTAACCTCCCTTCCCAGGGGCAAACAGGAACAAGGAGCTCTATTGTAAAGCTGAGACCCTGAATCCTTAAATGATTGAGCCTCAGTACAGTACTACAGTACACGCGGTCAACTTGTCAGCGACAGTATATTTTATTTATTTATTTTACATATAAACTTTTAGAGACCACAATAGCAAAGGAGGCAACATGTTTTAACAGCTGACTGATTCACAGCATGAGGTCAGCTTCAGCAGACATGAGGTACTTGCAAACACAAAGGCTGCATGAATTTGATGGGATTATTGCTCACATGAAAAGGCAACAGGAACTCATGTGTGACATTTGAGCTCTGTGATAATAACCTCTTTGAGTAGTAAGGCTACAGTCCTGTAAGGCAGTGGTTCAGGATCAAACAACTGAACCTTCCAACATTTCCTAGAAAATAACTCCTGAGGGCCATCTCTTTAACATTTCACATAGCATTGAGCCATTGTCAATACAGATTAGGATTTAAACAGCTTTAGAGGTTAAAGCTGGACCATTGATAGTACATAAAAAATAAATACAAATATGTCTTACCAACAGCCATAAAACCAACATTTTAGTAATTTAGTGATGCACAATTATTCTTAGATTTACGTTCACCAATTTTTGGCACTCAGTAAAGTGTCAATGAATGCTGCCTGCTATTTGGTTACACCTCACATAATAAGCTTGTCCAATGCTTGAGATATGGCTCACCACAGAGAAGAATCATCCTTTTTATATGACATCCCGCCTGTGGGCTGTGTGCGACGACAAACACAATCTGCAATCTTGATTTTCCACCCTCCTTCACAGCAATTACAGAACCTATATCAACTAGGCCTATAAAATTCCAAAAATACAAAAGTACCAAAAATAATGCAACAGTACGATGTTGTGCATCAAGTCCTTGGCTCTTCCCGCATTTCGATTTTCAGTATCAGGTATTGTCAGAAAATATAGAACATAAAATAAAAACCACACAGCCAGTTATGTATTAGTGGAATGAAAGGGATTTTTAGAAAGCTTTGTAGAGCTGTACAGCAGTATTAGGATGTAATGCCTAAAACCCCTCAAACAAAGCCAACTTCTGTATTGCAGTTGTGTAAATCCACCGCACAGGGAACGCAGGGCCAAATCTTAACTTTATACCAAAATGTAAACTTTTATTCTAAGAACAGAAAGTGACAGAACTGAAAGTGATCAGGCTTACCTTGAAAGTTGAAGATGGTAGTTGTCCTAGATGATGATGACAGTGATGAAGACAATAACAAGTCTGATGATATAAGTATTGATGATTTGATGTGATGTGAAAGATAAATATCCAACAACAAAAATCACAAATAAATCATTCTGAAATCCTGTAGAAATGCTGATGTTTGGTACTGTTTCTGGGATTGTTTTAAAGTTAAAATATTTATGAAGCTAAGAGTGGCCGAGTTTCTTTTCTACTCCTTTCCTGTGCTCCCCAGCGAAGGAGGGAGATGTTGCTGAGCACTCTGAGTCAGGAGGAGGGAGGGAGTGGCACAATTTTCTCTCTCCACTCAAAGCAGAAAACTTTCCCATTCAATCATTCTCTCCACTTTTTACAACTGAAATCCCCATGCTGATTAGCTCCCCTCCCACAACCACCACCACCTCCACCACTGCACTAAATCAATCTGTGAAAAAAAACATTTCAAATCATGACAGTTATTCTTAACCAAAGAGATACACTTTTATTCACACATTGCAAGGTTATTTCATTTTTCTGAAAAAAGAGAAAGAATTTAGAATAAACATGTCACAAAGATATGATTTAAGGGTATCATCTCATCCTGATCACCAAAAGATTACTCTAAAGGTGAACACATTCTAATTTGTTAATGCTATTATGTTCTGGGAAGGAGAGCTGTCAAATATAAAGCCTAACTAACTTCAGCAGGTTGAGTCAACTTCACAGATTTAGGGTGAAGGAAGGTCAGACAGGTCAGAGACAGAGAGGTGAATTAGCATTGCAAAAGCTGTGCAGAGCCGAGTCCCTCCTTTAATGTCGAGTATCTTTTCTGTGTCTGAAAAGTCTTAAAGGCCCTGTAACCCAAATCCACAAAAGCTTCTAACTATGTTATTTATGATCTTATGTACATAATATCAACTCTCTAAAAGTATTTGAAGTTACCTTCCAACCATTTTCGCGAGTTTGTCATTTTGGCTTTTGAACATTTTTGGATGTTGGGTGTGAGGTGTGCAGGTTTAGCTCTGAGAATTATTGAATAAAA